CAGATGAAAATGTGTTTTTTTATATTTTATTCGATAATTTTCAGTGATCTATAATCGAGATGAGTGTGCATCCGTTTCTCCATTTTTTTTTTGAATCATTCTTTCATTTGATGTCCATAAACATCAATACCATGGTTTGTCGACAATTGGAGATATGGCTTTCAATTTTCTTTTTGTAAAAGAATATTTTGCAATAATTCCTTTTAAATTTAGTTATCATTTTCAAAGGGACTTATGGATAGAATTTCGTTCCTTTTATTTGCTTTGATCTTTTGGGAGTAATTTTGCTGGCTTTTTTGCTCGTTTTATTCCCTGTAAAAATAAACAACTGGTTTTGGCAAAGCTAAAACTGTTTCTAATGCACAGTCATGCGACAAATTATGTACTTACATACATTTTAATAAAGAATTTATTATAAAGATCGTACCTTGTTCGAAATAAAATTGAATTTCTCAAATTTTAAAAGCTCATATACACATATGTCTGTCAATTTAATTTTTTAATTTACCAAAACTTCTCTATCAAATGGTAAAGAAAAGTCATTAAAAAAAACACCGGAAACCATTCTTATGTGGTAATTTGACGACAGATTTTAAAATACAGCTGCTATAAAAATTGAATGCAAATGCTTTATCAACCTCTCAATTTGCATATGGTTATATAAACTTTTCTGCCATCTTCTACCCAAAAACCAGTGAAAGTAAATTTCCTTTTCCGTTCCAAGTACATTTAAAATATAAACGAACACGAAGTAATCATTTTCATTACCATTGCTATACAATAACCCACGGAACATAAGAACTTCCCCATAAAAAACATTTTCAACCTTTTATTGTGCTGTTTAATTTATTCGTGGTCGCGAGTACTCAGATTAAAAACTATACGACAGTGTGTTAACATCATATGTAAATAATCTTATCGTAACAATGCACTATTTAAAACGCATAGCTCATGTGAAGTTCATGATTAAAATATTTACTGAATTTAACTTTTTGTGATCGATTCTTTCAAGTGTAATATGCTGGGGATACTGCAATTCCCCACACCCTGTTCAAAAAATATCACAAGCGGAAAACACGTGTAGGCGAAATTTTCCAATTCACTCCCTTGTCCTACTGACATCGAGGTGTTTTCCACAAAGTGTAAAACTAACCGCCGGAATTAAAGTAGGTTAGATATCAACATCGCGTTCTCGCGGTTTTTCATATCGCAAAACAGAGCCGATTAGCGACTTATCTCGATCAGCTGTAGAGAAAGTCTTATTTCGTCACACTAGTTTCGAGTCTGCGATACTATCAAATCCTGAACTTGTTTCGAGTTTAAAGTTCAACATGAAATCTTGCAGCCACAAAAGAATGCACCCATCAACCAATTGACGAATCAATCTAAAGAGAAATAAATCGAGACGTTGCTCAAGTTTAGTTCAACGACCCACTAAAGCCTCTAAGTTAACATTTTCATGGCAGATTTTGAAACTGGTGTGTTTTGTTTTCTGGAGCGTCCAACGTCACCGTAGCGTAGGACTTCAAAAAATTCGAGCTGAAAAAGTGACCTTAAAATGCGTTCTTTGTTGTTAAATCACGAATTATTCGTGTATTCACGTACCATTACAAATGAAACCGTATGACGTTATTACGACGTTCTTCCGGGTGGTTCAGGAAACCCCGTAATTTGTATTGTTTAATAATCGCAGCGTTTTTGTTTAGATGTTTATGCTTTGGGCTTGATTCATGCTAAACCTATATTTAGGTAATTAAACAAAAACCACAATGCCGGAGATTCTAGATACCATGTTCCTTGAGGGCATATTAGGCCGTATGTGGCCCATTCGAATTATATTTTTGTTGAAGAGTTTTTAATAGTTAAAGACCTTTGTGTCACTGATATTTTTTTCAGGAACATCAGCATACAAAAAAGTTATTGAGAAAATAACTTCTTTCATTTAACAACGATGTCAAACGAGTGAGTAGTCATTTAAATTCCTCTTATTGCGAAAAATTATGCTTCCCCTCAGTTTTAAATTCTAAGTAAATAACTAACGGAAGTATAGTCATCGTTTTATTGTGCGGATATTTAGAAACATTTTTGTTTATTAATTTCTTCAAAAAATTAATGACGTCATTGCAAAATATTGTTAAATATTCGTAAATCTCACTTTGCAGTTAATATGTATATGTATGGCCTACGATTTAAAAATTTTTGGCTAACTTTACCTAGATTGACTACTTAAAAAAATTAATTAAAAAGATTACGCAATCAATTTCTATAAATATTTATAAAGAAAGTTGACGCACTGGGAAAAGTAAAATCCCAGTTGAAAAATATCTCCTGAGTCAAAGAATTGTTTGTGTTTAAGGGGAATTTTTAGTGCAGGTCTTTAAGGCAACAAACCAATCAGTTTTAATAATTAATCCCCACTTAAAACACATATCTCAGATGCAGAGGGTGTATTTTGAGGGCGGTAATCCGAATTAGATAGAGTCCGTGAGAGTGTATTTTTTGAATACTTATACATACATGATATTTCAAAAAATTGAATTTACATATGACGCATTTTCAACGTATTAGGTGTTGCATTTTGCAATAATACTGTGCTGTTTATACGACTAAGGTAAACTTTATGTTAAGAGTTCTATGACAAAAGAAAAAGTTAAGCAGTTTTGGCTTAAGCAAATGGAAGATGATTCATAAGGTAATATTTCACCCAATATCTTTATTAGTGCCGAAGTTGGATAAAGTTGTGGAGTTGCCAAGAAGAAATCAACGTTTGAGAAAATAAAAATGACGAAAACAGATGCAAAAATGCATAGCGTTTGTACATTCGAACGAAAAAAAAAAAAAAAAAAACGTTCGGAAGAAAAATGTTAAATATTATCTTATTCCATGACACGTCTTTGGATTATTTAATTTATTGTAAGAGAACTAAAGTTAACGGGAAGCAAACTGTTGGAAGAATACACAGTTTGTTATTTACTGTTAACTTTGTCCCAGTCCTACAATACATTAGGAATAAGATATAAGACAATGAACTCGTCAAATTTGACACTAAAATTTCAGGTTCAGTCTTTAGTACAAGGACAATGTCAAAATTTAAATTTAAGTGTTGTGACTTTAGTTGATTGATAAATAATGAAAGTGCCAAACGTGTCGTGGTTAAAGCCAAAAATGACACAGTCGATGTCCAGAGAACTACAATTCGATTACAGTTCCGTAGTTTTGGTCATTTAAATACCACCCGTCTCCTTCAACTGAACAACAAAATATGGTTAACGGTTTTTAAAACGTGGTTATTTCGCATCGAATTTTGTTCGTAAATTATACAGGTCCTTCAAGAACGTCTTTGGAGGTTATTCATACCGATTTGTATGCTCCAATAAAACCACAAATATGAAATTGGAAACCACACTGAGCGATATTCATTAATGACTTCACATATTTTATCGTTATATTGGTAGAATTGTGCAAGTGTTTTGCCCATCAAATTCTACCACGACTATATCGATCTTTACACACTGTTTTTCTTTTTAGGGTTTAGTGGTCAGAGATAATAAACACAGCTCAATTCGCTCGCTACAGGAGTCTTTGAAAACCTGCATTTGTAATAAGGTATTTATATTGGTTGTTAAAATGTGATAAAAAATAAAAAATGTTTCAACTGCTGTTCTTAGAAAAAAATAAACATGACAAATAACGCAGAAAAGCAGGCCCCAGATGAGTTAACAAAGTCTTTGCCAACTGTGAAATTAAATCACACCAGGGAGTTGATTGAAATTGGAATTTAAGACTTTACTAATAATGTTTGAAATAATGTGCTGCTCCTTACTGAGTATTCACTGAAAAACAAACTTGTTGAGCAGTCTAATGTATCTGACGTCGAAAATAACAACACGTTCCGTCTATTACACTTGCGTAAGGATGGAAAATTGGTAAAAGTAATTGCCCTGAAATCTTATGAATACAGTAACATAATGATTACATGATGTTTACAAATCAAAAGCAATATATTTAAAAAAAATCTTCGCATGTCGCTGACTCAAAATCATCAGTCTTATTAGATATGATTGGATAATCGGGACATATTTTGATTTTTATATTTTTTGAAGCTTAACTGAAATATAATTCTATTTTAAGTAAAACGTTTTATTCGCAGTTGAATGTCTGGGTTCAGATTAATTACAAGTATCGCGAAACAATACCAAAATAGCGGAAATGGCTAACCAAATTTTTACTTCTTACGAAATAAAATCACATTTTCTTATGCAGAAGATACAGTGGAACTAATTAGTTTTAATAACTAGTACAACACCGCAATTTTCTCGAAAATAGAAACATTCTTTCGACAACAATTAAGTCTGGGAGCATCTTAAATGGAATTTTAAAATGTATTACATTATTTTTTTTATAACTAATACAACTGCACTCACTAACAGACCTTTTTAATTACAGTACTCTTCTTCAAATATAAAATCCAACTTTGGTCAAATTATGAAAGTTTCGTTTGTTTTAGTTTTCTTTATAATTAAATTAATCCGGATTCTATATGGTATTACCGTAATCTCATACAAATCGTAAGTTGAGAATGAAAGGTTGATCAAATGGCAACAATGTTAAAGGTCATTGTTGACGAGTAGTGTCAATTAATAATTATCGGCGAAGATTAATGCATTCCTAATTATAGTTTACAAAATAATATCCACGTTTGAACCTACCATGAAATAATAATAATCCTTTTATCATACTTATACATCTAAAACCAGTCAGAATTGCTAACGGATTTTCCTACACGTATTGTGTATTTAGAAAAGACTACACTAAATAAAATATAAAGATAAGAGTGTTAAACAATACTTTCAAATTGTAATAATTTTTATGTAATACATGATTTAAGTTAGATTAGAAGAGATTCTCTAATAACATTATATAGCACAGAATCTCGTATTCGTCCTCAACCTAAGCCCTTTACCTAAATTATAACAGAAAATGGTAGATTTTGATCTTACCTTTGGTAGATCCTGCAAGTCGAGTTGTTAATTCGTTTGTCGCTAGCGTGCCTTCGGCGATCCTCGAACAAATCCTTCACAGCCGTCACTCCGAGCACGAACATTACTGGTATCATCGCAATCTCTTTTCCGAACGCGTTGATTGCGGGAAACCAATTGAGCAACACGATAAAAATGAAATACAAATTAGCTACTCTATGAAACTGTTCTAATAAATTCCGCGGCAAAAACGATAATAAAGTATATTTTGTAGTCCTTATTTTATTATTGGGGCGCTTTCCGTTGGGGTGCTCCTTGCGGGGCGTTTTGGGAGGTACCAGATGATTGGGGACCACTGTCCTGTACCTGTAATAAAATACGAAACTAACAACTTTTTCTCATGCATATGTGAAGTACTTGTTGCTCGAAAAGGCAGTTGAAACCGTTAGGTGACGCTACTGTCGACGAGTTTCAGAATAGTTGAACACTAAAATGCTTGAAAATAACCACCAAATGACAGATTTTGGTTAAATTTGTGCCCACAGATTGCAACAAAATCTCCCACCATGAAGTTTCAATTTTGATTAGATATAGAAAAAGTAGCAACACTTTTAATTCATGTAACCAGCTTGTACCAGTAAAAGAAAGTCTATGATTTACCAAATGAATAAATAGTCTTTATTCGAATGTAAAAATAAACGGTTCAATTCGTTTATTAGTTTAATTATTATTCACACTTTGATGCCACTACAGTGAAAAAAAAAACAAATATGGAGCGAATAAAGTTAACTATCCAGCCTCGCTACTAGTATGCCTGTTATGCGTTGAAAATAATTGTCCACAGTAGACATGAATGAACAATTGGTCGAATACGAATCTATTATTAATGACGAATATTACTCAGAAACTGTAGTAATATATTAATCGCAGTACGTAATCGGAGAATCCGTTCTTTTATCACGTGTCTCGACTATGAACATGTGAGCAGATCATAACAGCTGCCGAAATTATCAATTTCGTCGCAATTACAAAGTTATTGTTGCGACATCGGATGACCTTAAGCTGAAAATCTAAAATATTTCAACAACACTGTCCAACCAGTGGTCTGACCACTGAAAAACATTGGGGTCTCGAAAACGTCATAATCATTAAGTGATTCATTCTGTATATTTCCAATGTAGATATATTAATGTATTCTTTCTATTTTAAACCTTCACAACCTATCGATTCATATTAGTAATCTAAGAAATATCACTATCTACAATGCCTTATATCAAAATTTAAGCTAATATGAATTTTCAAGTAAACTGTAGTAGCAGTGAATCTTTAAAATGAAGTATGAACAGAATTTCTTTGGAAGCATAACACCGTTAGAAATTTAAATTCTACGTTCACGACGAATTACGATAACAACGTTAACGTCAGCAACGAATGTCGACTTCTACAATTCCTTACTTTGGCTACCGAAGGTAACATTTATTGAACCATTATGTAAAAGTTACGAATGAAATAAACACAAAATAATAAAAACTGACAACTACTTTTTTTTCCAACGTCGACTCTTTATCCTACTACAACATGCTATCCGCGTTTGTTATGTCTGACGTGTATTCGTCTAGTTGAAAATCACGGAACTTAACATAAGATTGGTGACACGTTGTTCAAGATCCGGAGTATGTCCCCATATCAACTGCAGCGCCAACTAATCTATTCAATTTGAAAACACCATCGTAGTAAGTTGTCGAACGTTTTGTTTAACCAAAACCCGTTTTTTCTTAATTTCCGACCTACCTTTCTTCTGGTTCTGATTTGTGCGATCGCCTGAGCAGGATACTCAGCATCCGTCTCCATAATGGTGGTGGCGCCGTCCTCCTCAGTGTATAAATACTTTCAGATCTAGAGGCTTGCCTGCTGTGGCCTTTCGCCGAAACTTTCGATGCACTACCACTGACATTGTCCGAATCCTTGTGTCCTGGAGGCAAGATAAAGTCGGTTTTGGAGCCCACTCTACTGTGGCCAGGACGAGCAGGATCGGAGGTGATTTGTCCTTGAGAAAAGGCACGCTGGTGACCTCGACCTCCTTTCAGAGCTGATGGCCGTCCCACGATGCCTGCGGAGTTGCTGCCGCCCAGCGAGGTGTTGCCCCCATGACTGATGCTGCGTAGATGACCACGAGTCTCTGGAGATCTAACTTCAGGAAATGTGTATGTGGAACATTGTGACGACTGCGGGACCGCCTGGGGAACATTCGCCGTGCTCTCTTGGTTGGAAAAATTTGACATCGTTTACACTCTGGAGAAAATAAATAAGCTTTAGGTCTCAGATTTATTGGTTTTATAAGTGGAAACGATCAAATGGAGCAAAATGGATTTATTTCTTTTACAAAAACAAACATAGGATGCCAGGTCTAATTTTTCGCTGAAAAATATACAGTAATAATATGTATTGCATGCAGAAATATTTATTGGAAGATCTCATTTCGTGCCAGCAGAAGTTGAAATCGTGAAGTTATTGAAATTTTACTTTGTGGATATTGAGATATTTTATTTTGTATTTCCAGATGGTTGCAGCACGCTTTTTAAAAAAAGGAACCATGGGCCATTGACAGGGAGGTTCATCCTTTATGACTGGCAATAAAATTTCTACATTATAACAAATTAAAACTGCCAAGATTTATTCTGTAAACAATAAATTGGACAATAAATCGCTTGCACAAAAAACAAACTAGCTCTTAAAAAAAATCTTTAAACAAGGATGTCTTGAGTGTTGAAATGTACGGATGGTGAAGTGAGTGCAGGAAAAGTTTGTATAAAAGGTAATGCGAAAAGATATTTCGAACGATTCTGAAAAGGAGTAGTTCTACCTTCAAAGACTATTCGTCCTTTAAAAATGGTTTCTAGAGAAGTTTACTCCAAAATTACCATAATTATGTTATTTTAAAGGATGGTGCGCGTTATAACTTTCAGTAAATACGTAGGCAAATAATCACAAGTGAAATTTCAACATTTTTGCAACTACAAGTAATAAATACAATGGAATTCGACAATATATTATCGACGACCCCACTGAATTCTATGAAGACACTGTCGTTTACCCACACATTGTACATTGAACCCAGCAGAGCTGATATGAGCAGAAGCGAATCACATATTCGACGTAACAACAATAATCTCAAACTTGGTAAGGACAGAGTAGTTCCCCTACGAGTAAAATTAAGAAAAATCCATCAATACAATGCAAAATTATTTTAATTATTGCAGTTAACACTTTATAAACAAGACATATTTTCCTGAATTCTAACCTGTAGTTACGGTATAATGCACCAACCAAAATAGTGGTTTTACGATGTTGACTCCTCCACCACCTTGTCATTCAATAGTCCAGTTTATTCGGTGCAAATTTATGACAACATCCAAAACATAGATAGCGACTCGCTGTTGTGTTTGGCTGGCACGTTGGTTATAAACAGGACCTGCTTATCTATTTAACGGAGTCAGTTTAAGGTGCTTCCTTGACTTTCTTGTTCGCAAACGAGGGGCTTGGTAAAATCAAACTCATAAAACCACAATTTTTGCTGAAAAACTATACAAGAAATTGTAGCCCATTTTTCGTTGACCCATCTGTACGAATTATGTAGGAGAGAAATTACAAAAAGACAAAGATTTTAGAAGGACAAAGGAGTGCGTAGATTACATGTAAATTTATTTTAAGTATATGCATATTCTTTACGAATATAATGTAGTAAGAATCTTTTTAAGCTCCAATTGCGGTCTGGAACCGATAATGTGGCTTTCACAATGAAAACATAGAAGCAAAAGGAGCAGATAGAAATAACACCTCAAAAAAAAAAACAGCGAACAACTTTTGTTATTTTTCTTATTTGCAAGCCTCTGCGGATAAAGCGCTATTCATTTTTGATTGTAATTACGTCTTCTGCAATCTTCATAACAGAAAAATAGAAACAAATAGTTGTTGCGAACAAATTCCTTAGTATGGCGCAGTGCCGAAACTAGCTATAGGCCGAGTAGGCCCTTGCCTAGGGGCGCCAACGACAAGGGGCGCCAAATTCGTCCAAAAATTATGTTGTATAGTTTTGGAAATTTCATTGTACCCTATAAAATTTTATTGGCAATAACGAGACGGACAGTAGTACCTACAATAGCAAGAGATATTTACAACTTAAGTTGTCGCGTGCCGGTAATCCCAGATGTTAGAAACCAGAATAATCCAGGTCCGGGCTGGGACCATCGTTACTTATGAACGGAAATGACCATTATTTTATGAGTACAACTACCTGCCAAATATTCTCAGACAAATTCGAGTGAACTGGTGGGAGCCATAAATATTTCTTACCATTGTACTACTGTCCGTCTCGTTATCGTCAATAAAATTTTATAGGGTAGAATGAAATTTCCAAAACTATACCAAGAATTATGTCATATTAATCTTTTTTTATTTTGAACGGAAACATGTAACCGGTGCGACAGGTTTTTTAATGTTGATTTTATATTGAACTTATATAATATTTATAGATTTATACATATTATATACCTATATGTATAATCTCGATTTTTTTTCTTTTTTTTATATTTTATCATAGTATCTGTTTTGCATACTTAATAAAAAATATAAATAAAACTGTTCTGTAAAATTGCATTTTTATGTGTAGGGGAGGGGCGCCTAACGCAAGGTTCGCCTATACCTAAATATTCTTTGGTTTCGACACTGGTATGGCGTACAACAACGTGTTTTGGGACTACATATCAATATGAGACGAATTTAAAGAATGATGATAACGCAAAAACATCATTTCCGACTCTTCTACTAACCTTTTATGGTTGCATAGTTTAGTTACGTTGAGAACGTTTGACGTCATGAACTATTTAAATTGTTTATGTTCAAAGAAACCACAAATAATGTAGACCAAGAAACAAACAAAAAAAACATGACTGTACACTGAGCACAATTAGTTACAAATATGTGTTTATAGTTTTCTTTTGTGGTGTACACTCGTAGGATATGATGAAATGAACAATTTATAATAATCCAGAGTAGAGAACGGCGTGTTAAAATGTGACGATAAAATTACTGCGATTGCTAAACTTTAAGCTATCAAGAAAAACACGTTTCCACAATTTGATTGAATAAATTATAAATAACTCTGACGATGCCTACAAAAATATTTAACTTCTACTTTTTGAATTCAAAAAATTAGACTAAATATTTAACAAAAATCGGCAAGAATTAACTGAGTCTCGAGCTAACATTAAATAAAATATTCCTGCTTTCTGTATTTTCTTTTACACTTAAACTGGGTAAGTTTTTGTTTTATATAGTTTAAAACAGGGTGTTATAAGTTTTTCTCTGGTTGTCTACTACCACATTAAAAAATGCACTTTTTTTACTTTTTACTAAGTAAAAGTCATATTATAAAACTTTTTCTTTAGCCCAGTCTTGTTTTCAGTGACTCACAACAAATTCTCAAGCGTTTAGGATTTTTTTTTTTAAATTTAGAAATAGGATATACTTTTTCGTATTTCTACTTCATACAGAAATTTTTCATTGCTAAATAATATATTTTATTGTCATCTTTATTGGTTCGAAATGTTCATTTAACTCTATTTGGATTATAAGTAATAAACATTATATGTTAAATTTACAAATTTCCATTATTTAGATCTAATGAAAAATTACTAACAATATTGGCACATGAAATTTTACATTAAATAAATGTACGTACTCTTTATGGACAAAAATTATCAAAAAACGGTTGTCACTTGCCCGGATTTTGATTAAAATATACGTATTTACATGTACAACCGAATCTACATAATTAACTAAGGTACATATTTTATTAATCATACGCACGCCAAGTCCACTCTACGTAGATACACATAATGCGTATAAAATTGGTTAATTAATGGCATACACCTTGTCTGACAAATTCGTTTTCTTCTAAAAACAACTCATAGTCAAATGTTGTTCAATAATTTTAGTTTAGTAAGAAAATTTAATGCTGAAAAACTTCGCTCAATGTCAACGGATGTAACTAATGCATGTTTTAAATCAACTGTAACCAGATACAATTTTTTCTTAATTACTTCTTTCATGATATTTCAGAATATTTTCTTGAAATGTATCGATTCAATTGTTGTACACTGACAATTCACTTTTAATACCTAAAATTATTTTGGTTATAAATTCACAATTGTGGTGTGTTCATTTAAATTCATCGATATTTTTAAAACCTAAACTCAATGTTCTGTAGACTCAAAATTTTCAGTGTAAAAACAACGTGTTCCACTTTGTAGCTATTGATTCTAGTTTTGAGAAAATATAATTTCCAGAATTAATATGATAACAAGAAGATAACCACCAGCAAAATTCGCCCAAAAGGGAAAGATATGCAAAAAAATGCAAAATAAACTCAAATATGGAATATTAATGAAATGCGTGAAAAAACTGAATATGCAAGACTTGCAAAAATGAACGTCAATAACTTTTAATTATCTCAATGCGTGTAAATCTTACAGGATTTGGTTGTCACATTAATAATAAACTGAATATGTTCCAAACTAATCAATCATACGCAACAAATATTATCGGGAAAAAAAAACAAATTTCCAAATCATGACTTTTATAGCTGTCACCTTTTGAACATAATACTGAAATACCTGTAATACGACGTCAATGCGACAGCCAAAAACCAGAAACTTGTTGATTTATATAATAAATAAAATAAAAAAGAGACAAAACTTCCACAAGAAATCAACACTTTTTTTTCTATAGTAAGGATCGCCAAAAAATTATAAAATAAAATTTGTATGTCGCTATGTAGTAAGAGGTTCAGTTCACACTGCAGAGAAACTCTATTCTTTCCAATCATATTTTGGCAATTTTGTTTAAACCGTTTATCCTGAAATTAAGTTCTCCTATTTTACCAGTACATTGTTTGAACAAAGATAACCCAAAAATGTTGATAAACATATCCCTTTTTGATTAATCGTTATTATAACAGAAATCCTGTTAATTGTTAAAACGCTAAATTTTGCTTAATATACAACAGTAGTAAATATATATGCAAAAAATAAGATTTGTCTAAAATAACCAACTTTAAACAACAGCTACCCTTAAGTGAAAAATCGTAATTTGTTTTTAATATTAACGTAATATTATTATTATTATTATATTTTTGATAGAGAGTGTGTATTGTATGTATTAAAATACGTTAAAATTACAATAGTGCTTTGGAAGTGTACCTACTGATTGGACAAATATAATTAAAGATAGTATAAAGGGCATACATTTTGTTATTTGGTTACTACATATTATTAATTATTATAGATACAATTAATTAATATTTTTGTATTTTTCAGAATTCTTCTTATTTTTGAACGTCCGTCTAATTATTACAAGCTATAACTATGAGAACAAAAAATTTGGTGTCAATTTACAAATTATGTGGCTATGTTTCAGCACAAAGTTACAGCGCTCTCTGCGTGTAATGTTCGATTTTAATTTCATTGCTGACACAATTCTGTTTTAGGAGAAAGGAATTCTTATCTATGTGAGTTAACGTAACGTAATTTCAAACATACCAATTGAGAAGAAACTCGTAATGTAAGAAATAATTTTAACTGCTTCAAATTAATCAAGAATTAATAATACTAATTAAATTAAAATTTTAACTTTATATTCGTATTCATATTTTTTTAAGGTGTTTTCAATGCGTTCTCTTTCATTTTTCTCTTTTTTGTTAATATACGTAGGTAGTGGTTTGAATATTTGTTTTCGCAAGGTTATACAGTCGAAATCAATTTAAATATAGATGCCATAGCATTCAAATTTTAAGGGCAATGGAGCTCTATGGTTTCTGAACACTGTATTAGCTGAGACAATGTTAAAATTCCGATAATCTAAACTAAATGGGACTTACTTATAAAATTTAAACACATTACAAACTCCTGAGTGCTCAAAAAAAAACAGTGTTAATAACTACATTTACCCAATAGACTATGGTAAACAAAAAAATGTACACGTACATATGAGCTCTACAATATTTAATAGTGTATACATTACTAATAAGAAAATTCCTTCTTCAAAACCAGTGTTGCGCGAACAATGAAACTGAGGCAATACATAACGCACGTAATAGTAGAAGTTGTAGAACGAAATGCCGGAAAACAACAAACGGCATACCACGATGGTACTTATTAACTACAAATTTCAAATTTCGTACCCTAGCAGAACTTGTCATATAGATTGTTCAAAAATGAAAAATTTTTTGTTGTCATTTATTGCAAATAAAATGATGTGTCCTCATTTTAAAGTTAGGTGCTGTTAATTTTTGCAAAATCGTTCTATTTTTATATCCCAAAACTAAGACGACTGAGGCAACTGAATTTGGTATCATTATGGTACTTTTGTTCCCGTTGTAAAGTCCCAATACTTTATCTTTGGTGTACCTTTTGGTAAAATTCCATAAAATACAACCTAAAGATTTTTTTTTCTTTTTTGTCCTTTGACAGAGCTAACTCTACAACAATCTGCGTTGGTGTGGATTAGTTTGTACATGTGTGGAAAGAGAACATTGTTACATCTACTTCATTTCCTATTAAACTAGCATTAAAACCTTGAATTTTTCCAAATTCTTTCAAAGGCGCTATCAAGATTCTTTCAAATTTATTTTTCAGTTTTATTCAGTTCGTATTGTCGACAAAAAATTACGTTTTTATGGGTACACGCTACGAGACAAAATTATAGAATATTCGCGTTTTTGTGATCTGTTGAGGATTCTATTTGACAGATACATTTTCTCTGTAGATATTTTAAGAATATAATGTAGATGGCAAAACGCTAACCAAAATGTGTTTGCTTATCCCCCCCAGTAATTTGATGACGTCACAGTATTAAATTTTATAAAATAACATTTTTATACTTTTTTCTTTGTCGTGGTTCATACCTGTAAGAACTGTCCACTAATTTCATGGTTTCTCAGTTAATTTTTTTTTCCTTAATCATTACGCCAGTTGAACAACCTACGCTTTAAACCATTGCCAAACATTCAAGATGACATAACTAAAATTTATGTAAATGCATGTTGCAACGACAGTAAATCCTATTATTTCTCAATTCTGACCAGTCAGTTTCATTATTAGTAAAAAAATGATTACCGGGACTGTTTTTAAAAACGTATAAATTTGAAATCTTGAAAAATTTTCGTTTCAGTGGATATCATTCTACCGACCTGCCCAGTCTGTCCACTATTAAATAACTCACGCAAGCTATAAGTAGTTGGTAATTTTAAACTTTCAAATTTACCCAAGATCACGAAATTTATTAAAATCGCTGGCAATATCTACTTCCTTATCGTAGTCTGCCAACTGGTACAATTTAGCACTGGACGTAAATTGTTGGATTGAAAAATTTTAATAACGATAGTCTGACCCGATTATCAACAAACTAAAAAGAATTGGATACTCATAAAGGATGTTTACTTTCTCGAGTGCTGATTAGGGTGTGCTTCGTATCGTGAGTCAGTCATTATTGTAATAAAATGACCAAAATTAGACATAAACATAGCAACGAGTAGGAACCGTTCTATTTATTTGGAGAAGTGATCTTGAATGAAACCGGATACCACACTTACTGCAGCAGTATTCGCCTATTTTTTGTGAAAATAATAAATTCAGTAGGTGTGACACCTTCAAGGTCCATCCAGTTATACTGATTTCAACAGCAATTCGATACTTTTGGCGGATTATCGAAACAATGAAGTCATAAATTACCAATATATGACTGTGAAAATTTAATAGAGTTTTTAATTGGTGTAGTTACTCTGCTAATCTTGATAGTGGAATGTACATAACAGCTGGCTTAAAACCTGGGATTTTACAACAAAAAAAAATCAGTGCTGAAGATCCACTGGGATTCTGCAACAATTTAAAATTCCCTCCGCCACGAGAGCATCCTCAAAAGGGCATGAGGAAGATAAACATCAAGAAAACATAAACTTTTACCTTATCTTTCATAACTTGACTGAAATCCAAATCTAGGGGCACTTCTTGTAAATTTCACTTGAAATTAATTACAATAAAACAGACATCCACGCGTGCGATAAATAATAACTTTATCACAAACACACTCCAACTTCTAAACTCGCACACGTCGAACTATTTTCCAAGAACCAACCAATCGCTGAAAACCCCCCACGCTTCTCCCACCAAACATTTTACCGTTACGTCACTGAACCAAATTGTCAAAACGCAGGGCGGCAACCATTGAACACAAAATAACTGGAAAAGTTTTATTTAATTTGACGATCATTTGAACAAAATTACGTTTACTTTATTTTTTAACGCTGATTATAGCTTCCAAAATTATTAAACAAGTTATTTTTGGCGAATTAAAACAAAATCGGGAAACAGTGGCGGCGCTACGAAACTTACGAGAGCGATAGGGGAGCCTCGGAGCGAACTATGGTCTGTTTTGTAAGATGCAATGTGGCTTTTTTTTGCAAAACTGGTGTCATATTTTTTATTAATTTTAAATAGCAAACAACTAGAACTAAAAATAAAAAAAAAGTGTTACGATACTTGAGACATGAAGCAAAATATACAACATTTATTTACATGTTGTATTGGCCCTTTTCCTGTAAGATCGTAAAACTTCCATCGTGACTTTCCGTGCGCACGCATCTTCAAAACCACGTTGGAAATAGTATCCGGCACTCCGGCAGCAGAGCAAAGGCCTGTGACCACAGTATAGACAACAGTCAGTATGGACAACTCGTGTCGGCACCTTTGATCTTTTTGACCCGAATTTTAAGCCGTCATCGGTGGTCGTTGTCCAAAATATTTCTAGATGTCGCCACCTAATTTAAAAAGGATCACAAACGCTTAATTTTAAAATTGATTCGTGTACACCATTTACTACACTTTGTGCAAATGAATTTTTGGAAAAGACTTAAAAATAGTGTAATAACAATAACATTTTATAACTAGTTGATCTTAGAAACCACACAGTCTATTATAATAAATAATTAATTAAGCGCCCTATAACAGGGATGCCATGTTGAAATTTAGATGTGGCCCGCTTCTCTGATTACGATTTTACGTTTCATTAATTTCTTTTTCATGATGGCTGTAAATGGTTGTAAAATTCAACGTTATTAGAAAATGCTAATATATGTACATTTAATTTTTTTACAAAAAAAAAAAACCAGTAAACAATGGTCCTATGAAAAGTGAACAACGCTTTTTAAAATGTCTGTGTGAAAATTACACTTAACTGCAATAATTACACCGGAAGATCAGCCTTAATTCATCAAAACCAATGCAACTAAACTGCCAAATTTCAAATATTTCACAATTCGCATTAACGTCACTAGATAACAAAAGTACCGCAGTTCAATGTCCCAATGTGTAAGAAAGAGAAGTACCTTGCGTTGCGCGCCCTCATACGGTCACAAGACAAAGGACCACCCATGAAAACGGGTCAGTAAAAACAGCGAGTTGTCTCTACTGATTGATATCTATACTGTGCTGTGACAACAAACCGCTTTGACAGAATGCAACCGGCTACACATGCGTAATCTGTCGCTCATTGGTTAATTTTAACTTGGCGCTCCAAAAATCTGACTTCGCCTGCGCGATGTTGTCTCACTCTGTATCATTGGAATTTATATAATGTCTACTCACTTTGCTTACAGGAAAAGGGTCAATTAGATTTAACTAGAAATAATATGTATAAATTACCTAAATGAAGAGATTAATAAAGAAAAAAATAGTTTTCCCTTTGCTAGAATTAAATACCGTTTTTGTTTTCGTTTAACTTTTCCTTTAGTTTCACTTTGTTAATTGCTTTTTTTGTTAGAAGTTAAAATATTATTTTGCCGTTTGTACAGTTATATCAAAATTTACAGAGAAAATTTTCAGTCTTTTTCGTTAGTAAACAGAGTGCTTAACTAAACTAAATGGTCGTTTGAAGTTTTAAGAATTCGTTAAATGTACTTTTCGATGACTGCTAGATGAGTTTAATGACTTAATTATAGGTACATTATTTACGACTAGCAAGAAGGTCTTTACCATTAGCATATTTTTGAAATTGTCAGATGATTTACATCACTTTCACACTATCAACGGTTTGATGGTAAAAACTGGGGCTATTGTGGTGGTAATTTCGTCTTTTTCCCCACAGAAAATATACCACGATAATGTGAAAAGAGTAGTAACGGAAAAACCTTCTTTGTTGCAAAATACTTATATTTAATTAAGTCATAAAGCTCATCCAGGATTTTTCCGTCAAAAAATAACTGAAAATGATTGATCGTAAAAATAGGAACAATATACCGGATTCATTTTCACTTAATTCTAAATGGACTATACTCACAGTAAATGCTGGATAAACAACAATTTACATCAGTTTTATATGCATTGTGTAAGGTATTAGTTAGCAAAGCGGATATGAATTTTAAAAATCTCTAGATTTTTATTAATTGCTTATTAAGTTAAATCAAATATTAGGATAAGTGCAAAAAAAAATCAAAATCAATTACAATACATATAGTTACGTAGTTGGTATACCTATGTATAGAACCGGTATTTTTTTTTTTTTAGATTCATGTCACAAAAAATACTTTGACATTTAAGTAGTAGGCAATAATTTCCTACAAATTTCTATTTTCAATAGATTATAATAAAGACACAGATATAGCCAATAATATGTATTGTAAGAAAGCTTGCTGCACATCAGTCAGCAGTCTCCATTTACTCTAGAGTTTAGAGTTAAATAGAACTATTAGTTAATCGTATAATTTTTGGGAGCTTTTTCAGGGACAGCAGAATAAAATTTTGTTCTAGAAACATGTGTGCTAACACTTTATAAGTGTTATATCTGTTTTATGTAATAACTCGAAAAACCAGTTGGATGCTGAGCTATGAGGCGCAACAGAACTGCAAGAATCTCTTTTTGTAACGTACTGAGCATGAGGCTCAACAGAGAAAAATGCCTTAGGTACCACTAAACTGTTCATTTCTCCACAACAATTATTGTCCCAGCATCCCGCCCCCTTGAAGCGTAGCCTTCAAAGGTAGAAATGATACTTATAAATTACACAATACATGCCGAATTAATTTAAACAAATATATAATAAATACAATGCAATATAAAGTCTGAAAGATGTCATGATTTCGTAAAAGTGTGTGAAATTAATTATTCCTCACATTATCACTACCAAAGTCAGTGGTGACGCAATAAAAAAATGGCCAGGTGTGAGTACCTACCTCCATATCCGTAATTGGGGCACGCCACTACAGTGTAGCTGCTTTATCCACATGTAAAAACAAGACAACTATAAAAATTATTCGTGAAAATATGATTTATTTTAACAAAACTGAGACTTGCTTTTACGTCGCTGAAATTAACTTTAGATTTGGACTTGGTTTTTTATTTGTTGACTTAAATTAAGGTCAATTTGAGTTGGATCAGGTAGGTTCAAAGGCATCAGCATCGACAAAAAACCTTCGAAAAAAGGAATTCAAATTCAATTCTGAAGTTAATTTCAACACGGTAAAAATTTGAAGAACGTAAGTTGTTTGCTAGAACATTTTAAAAAAAGTTACATCATTTGGAAAAAGGATAATAAAAAATTTAATTCGATGCTTGATCAAAATCCATTAAATATAATACAATGGAGACAGCAAAAATACCTGAGCGTAACGTAGAAAAAATGTCATTTAACACTGAACAAACCGCATTAAATTATGGACCCGTTACATCTTACAACGCTGAAAGGTCGTGCTTGAGTTATAAAGACATTTCATCAAATAAAAGAAGAAGTCTCGGGTTCACTCGTATTGAAAAATATGTCGTCGCTTTTTATTATCTTTTAATTAAAGCATTGTCTTTTTTCTTCTTCCGTTTTAAATTTTTTTTCCACGTTTTTTTATGCCTAAATACATATATGCCATTCATAGATTATACAGAAATTTTGTTATTTGAAAAAGGAAACACTCTGATGTAAATTAAAAATATAAGAAATTTCGTTCAGGTAATTATTACAAACAAAAAATCCTTTTGCGAGTTGAAATATTTATTGTCACCGTGAAATCGAATGGAAGACTTTCAGTGTCAGAGTTAATAACAGAAAGATGTTTTCCGGATTTAGTCCCTGCTGGTTTTGGAAAGGTCATCTTTAGGAATTTAGGGAAAGCAAAACAAAAAGGAAGTGAATGATATTAAAGAACGGAGATAAATTTCATCTAGAAGAAGAAAAAAAGAAGAGAAAAAAGAAAGAAAAATGCTCTTGTTTAATTCCCCCTTTAGGGGAACTGGCTGCTAGAGAGTTTTCAGGTCTTATTATTATAGACATACTTCACAATGTTTACAAAAAATCGAACCTAACTTGATGACTTTTTTAATTGAACACCCGATATATTTAATTACTTTTGAACATATCAAATTCTTAAGATATTATAAGGAATACGTTGTTTAGTTGCTGATAGGCTTGTTAGAGTTTTTTCAACACACCAACTACATTTTATTGTGTTTCTTAAGATATTATAATACTTTATATATGTTTGAAATATAATAAGAGTTTCAATTAGTTAACATCTCTTGCCCCTTGAATCAAGACTTGGATACTGAAGAGCGCTGTCTTTGTTCTGAGGGCTTTACTGAAGCCGAATCAGATCATCAGATATACTTCCTTATTTACTTCTAGTCGGGGCATAGATAACATTCAAAAAGATAAGTACTTGACTGGTGACTCGTCGACCCAATAATCTGTATTTTTGATAACTAACTGATTTTTTCTGGCAGAGGGGGTACCAATATACGGGTTTCATACATGCGGCTGAAAAACTTGCTTAACATGCAATAGATTTTTCATCAGTTTTAATATTTCGACATGTGCGAGGACGGTGTGATAGTTGAAAACTACCCGGGTTGGAGGACTGTAGGTACTACTATCTCAAAATCTGTAAACCATCTTCTAGCGTCATCTTTCAAACGATGCCTGTTAAAATTTCAATCAAATTTGTTAAGTAGTTTTGTTACAACACTTGTTGTAACTTGACAATTTCGTATTTTTTGCAAAAATGGAAAAAGAACTATATAGGTATGTAATTCGATTTCTTTTTTTTTAACGGAAAAACGTGTGAAGAAATCAAAATCAGGTTGTAGACAGTTTATAAGGACCAAGCACCTTCGTCAGCAAATGGTCAACAAAATCCACGATATCGTCTTAGTAGACCGTCGGGTGAAGAATCAGAGAGATTGCTGAGATTGCAAACATCTCCCTGGATCATCTGCACAACATTTTTCACGAAAAATTGGGCATGAGGAAGCTATCGGCCAGATTGGATCGCGGTACAACTTCGGAGCACTGTTTGAACAACAATTCGATGGAGTTTCTAAAGCGTTACTACACTGTTGATGACTAAAAAAAATTGAAAACAATGGACTCTTCCCGGCTAACGTACTCCAAAGAAGGGAAAACGGTCCCTTCGGCTGGAAAAGTTATGGGTACTATTTTTTTGGGATTCGCATGCCATCATTTTCACAGAATATTTGGAAAATGGCACGGAACAGTACTACTGACATATTGAATCCATTTGATGCTGAATTAAGGATGAAAGGGCCCCATTTGTCGAAAAAAAAGTCCTGTTTCTCCATGATAACGCACCGGCTCACACGTATGCCACATTATGAATTACCTTGTATTCGCCAGATTTGACACACTGTGACTTTCATCTGTTTCCAAATCTGAAAAAAATGGATTTGATTTCAAACGGCGACGTAATCAATGAAGCAGAGGCTTATTTTGCCGAGTTTGATAAGTCGTATGTATAAAGTTAAAATGACACTATACCGAGAAAGAAAAAAATAATGCATTCTCCTTCTTAACACAAGTATCTACCAAACAGTCCTCCTATTTCATCTATAAGAGGCGATTTTTTAACTACTGCAACATCATTGCATTTCATCTCTTGTTATTTCCGGTCCGCTTTCAGTTTGTTCGTTTATTTCTATTTGATGATAATAATTCTTACTGAACAGTTCGCCTATATATTCTCTCCATTCTATTACTATTACAAGTTCTCTCATTTACGAAAATTTAACGGTAGCTTCTTTAATTAAACTTCAAGCACTGTTCCATAAAAAGTGTAAATAAACTTATTTTTAGATTAGTGTGCATTGTGTTAAAGAATACAATAGAGAGTATAATATGGTATGACAAACAAACAAGTAGCTGAATACAATTCAACAACTGTTGAAAAAACCCATCTATTTTATTTACGCAACAAGTACTACTGCGATTTCAAAGCATGTTTTCTTGTCTAGTCTAAAATTTGAAGTTAAAAATATTTCGAGTATTATAATTTCGACATTTCAGACATTTTTGTAAAGTTGTCAGCTAAATCTTATTTATTTTCTTTAATAAGATATCGAGGAGGTTTTAGGTATATGTCTAGGGAATTGTAAATATACCGTTTTTAGGTATCACTGAATGCCATAATGATATAATTTAGGATATTTTATGATATATCTATAATATTTTCTATTAAATAATATTCAGGTATTTTGAGCTTTTTAGTGTTATTTAACAATACTGCAAAATATTGTTCGTCACATAGAAGGCAAAGCCTCAAACGAAACATCTATTTTGTAAAGTGGACACACCAAACAGTAATAAAAACTGGGAAGAATTAACAGCAGTCCGCAGTCCCAAAACGGAAATCATGGTGTGGATTGTAGAAGAAATTTAAACAATTCTACTCGCAAATGGACAACAGATTTTTAAGAACAGAAATAATAAATGATAATAAGAAAAAAAAGTCGATGCAATTTTTTTCCAACATGTTTTCTTGGTAGACTGAATGGTAATTTGGACCATAATACGGAAATAATATATTACGTGAAGTACCCTCGTTTTCAAAAAATTTCGGGCAATTGACATTGACATGAAAGTCATATTTCCATTGATCTATGAGAACCTGATTTGCTCATCTTGCTCGAATTTTTTTGGAAACGACTGTAGCTAAAGCTCTTGTACAAAAAATAATCAAAAACGAGATTATTTCTTAAGCTAAATATGCTGTATTTCTTTCAAATAAATTGTTCCCATTTTTTTAATCTATTTATGGATTTTTTTATTGTTTTGGGCATTTGATTTATAGATTGTATGAATGTGACTATTGTATGTATGAATATGACTATTTGAGACAACTAGTTTTTTATTAAGCCATTAACACTTTAATTTTAATATTATTGTGAATATGTATTCTTTTTACATATTCCAGGGTAGCCATAAGTGAAACATATTTATGCTTGTTCTTTGGTTTTAAAGCGATTTTATCAGTTAGTAATAATAATCATTATGATGAGATATTTTCTGTGTCGCCATTTATTATAAGTGCGATATAGAAACGTCACTTTCGTATACATATAAAGAATAGTGGTGCGTTGGATTACTGTCTTTCCTTATTGTATAATATAACTGCAGCAATTATTTTTAAATAAAAAGAAACTTAGATTTAAGAAAAATGTGGTGTAATTTAGCTTTACCCTACCAATGAAAATAAAGTAATTAAAAAAAAATGTTTTTTTTAGTACTGAGTACGATAGCAAAACTGTTTTGAAATTTTACCACAGTGGACATATGCCATTTAAAACTGTCATATATTTGTTCAATGTTTTGTGATATATAATGTAAGTCTTCAATTATATGCGGTCGACTAAAAAAAATTTTCCCGATCAGTCGCTGCGTTCTCAAATTTTGACGCCGCCACTGTTCGAGACTAGCAACCTGATTCTAACGGTAATATCTGGTGACTTTGGTTGCGTCATGATGCCGGCTGTCATTGCCCATTGACGTGACGTATCACTTCGTGCAGTCAGTCATTAATCTCGCCGTGTTATCAGTAAATTTGTGAAAATGGATGAAGAATATGACGCGATTGTTTTGGGCACCGGCCTAAAAGAGTGCATCCTCAGCGGGATGCTCTCTGTATCCGGCAAGAAGGTCCTCCATGTAGACAGGAACAAGTACTACGGCGGCGAGTCGGCATCCATCTGCCCCTTGGAGGAGCTCTTCTCGAAATTCGGAGCTCCCGCCCCCGATGACTCGTACGGCCGCGGCAGGGACTGGAACGTCGACCTTATTCCTAAGTTCCTTATGGCCAATGGCCAGCTGGTCAAGCTGCTCATCCACACGGGCGTTACTCGCTATTTGGAGTTCAAGTCAGTGGAGGGCAGCTATGTCTACAAGGGGGGCAAAATTTCGAAGGTAATGCCGCAGAATGCGCGATTCTTCTCTAATTTTGAATTCCACAGGTACCAGTTGACCAGAAAGAGGCGTTGGCTTCAGACCTAATGGGCATGTTTGAAAAGAGAAGGTTTAGGAACTTCCTCATTTATGTGCAAGATTTTCAACAAGAAGACCCAAAGACATGGAAGGATTTTGATCCCACCACAGCAGATATGCAAGCTCTCTATGATAAATTTGGATTAGATAAGAATACTCAGGACTTTACTGGTCATGCATTGGCTTTATATAGGGACGATGACTATTTGAAAAGACCTGCCCTCGAGACAATTAAGCGAATTAAGCTCTATTCAGATTCTCTTGCCCGATATGGAAAGTCACCCTACTTGTATCCAATGTACGGTTTAGGAGAACTGCCACAAGGTAAGTAAAAAGTTGCAATTGCAACTGCACACTTCAGTGATCACCACGGGTTTTTTTTCTTGTGGTTGGCGGTAATTAACGGTTGTTTGGGTCTGTGTTCACTGAAGAAATTGCAAAGATGTCTGTTGTGTGTCATAATGTTAAGTCATAGATTTCTAAATTGTTTGTTTGATTTTGTCCTAAGAGAACTTATCATGATCATTAACCATACTAAAATGGTGGGGATAACTGTCTTCATTAATTTTCTGGGGAGTTTAATTACAAATACATATTTATTGTTAATTAATTTATATATGTATGAATTTATTAAAAGTATTAATTTTTTATATATATGCTCAAAGTAGGGTAATCAGTAAGTTGTTTCAACCAAGACTACCTGCTCTTTTTTTGTTGCAATTATTTTCATCTTATAGCATTTTCTAATTAACAATTTAACATTTTTTAAAAAAATTTTTGGCTGGTTTTGAACTGTTTACCTTCACATGTTGTGCACCATATTTTTAAATTATACTAAAGAGTATAATGAGGTGCCAAAAATATTTTTGATGATTATTGAATTAGTTGTTTTCTCTGGTTTTCACTGCTTCTAGAATATGAAATTCCAGTTTACTCTCAACAATTTGCTTGTCTTGTCAATTTTATTAGACAAATAATCTCGTAAAGTACTGAATCAATTAGTCTGAATCTTTAAGATTATTACGTAAACGCTAAAACGCTAACCGCTAAATATGAAATTTCAGTTTACTCTCTACAATTGCTTGTGTTGTCAATTTTAGTAGATAAATAATCTCGTAAAGTACTGAATCAATTAGTCTGAATCTTAGATGTTCTTTAAGATTATTACGTAAACGCTAAAACGCTTCGTTGGTTTATCCTCGCCAAAAAAATAGATGGCTTAAGCTCATCTTAATGCGTCTTCTTTACCTGTGATGCAATAATTCGTTATTATTTTTAACTTCACGTTCTCCTAAAAAAATAAGTATGGATCATCAAATTTTATACGCTACTCCAGACATTACGTAACAGTTTTGGTAATAAAGAACTAATTTTGACTCAGAGGTACAGACTATTAACTAATAAAGTGTACTTATTCATTTCCAGTTGATTACGTTATCTGAAAAAATATATATAAGTAAATACTATTAAGAAATACACCATTGCAACGATTAATATTGGTTATCCTTTGGTAATATTCTCTCATTTTTTACAATTGCATACATAGCGTTTCAAAAATAAATAGATAAACTTAATTGTTTTATCGATCATAATTATTTATTATCAGGAACACCTTTTCTATGGTATGCTTAGGGTTACATTGTATGTGTTGAAATAATTTATCCATGGTCAATAAAAAGTTGATTAGGTCATCTGAAAAATTGTTGAATCACGTCTTTGCATTTTCTGCAGTATTTACTTTGCTTTAGAGTTGAAGGATGTTTTATTAATAATAAATAATCCAACAATTTTTTAAATATTGTGCATTTAGCAAGAATAAATTATTTTTCGATTATTAACAGTGTATATCGTTAAGTAAAAATGTTGCGAGGGGTAAATAAATAGTTAAATTCAAAGATATAAGATGTAGGGTTTCGTAAACAATAGAACCTGCACTATTAGGTGCATAGTTATATTGATTTCACAGTAATAGTAAAGAGAAACCTCACAAGTCACGTATTCACCATTAATATAAACGTATCTGTTCAATACAATTATTAATGTCATTGTATAATGGGCCAAGCTACATATATCGTCGCAGTGCTAATAATACGACTTTACTGTCTTACAGTTGAAATTTGTATGTGGTACTTCCAGAATATTATCATTAAAATAATATTTAGTTCAGTAGAGTTTTTTTTCTTACTTTGTGTATTGATCTCCATATTTTTTACCAAAATTTTTTATTGGTAATATTTGTTTTTAGTAATTATTATGTTTGTTCATATCTTAATGGTACATATTGGTTGTCCTTAGTTAATGGTTTTTCATTTTCGGTGTTCTGGATGTGTGTCCAACTTCATTTTTTGCCTAAAATAGCACATATTTGGTTTCGATTTTTTTTGTATTTGCAGTACTGCGAAAAATGCTCAAATTCTATGGCATCAGTCAAATTGTATTAAAAACGAAAAAAATGAGTCATTTTCAAAAAAGAGCATTTCATATATTTAAACAAATTTAATTTATATCGACGCTGTTAGGTGAATATATATTTTTCTTTGATAATAATTTGGTATGAATTAATTTTAATGGGTCGTAACATTTTGAAAGTAAATAAATAAATAATAGGAAAATTGAAAATTTTATTAACAATTAAAAGTGTCAAAATGGATGCATTTTCATTGAAACCTGATATGACAGAGTGATGGTTTTACGAAAAAAAAATCAGTTTCATTTTAATTGGTCAGTTCATGTAAAAGAAGACTGCTGAGGTTGATTTGTGGGAGACTTGGTCGATCAAGTAGGTGTATTTTAAAAGGTAGTCAAAGTAATTGTTGAATGATAGATGTGATGTTTAATACGGTGTATTTTAGTTTTCTACTCCTATTTAAATTTGTAGTTTCAACAGGTGGAAAGTATTATTAGACAATATAGTGTCTATATGCTTTTGTTTAGTTTTAATTTCTACTAATTTGGGTGCGGTCGGAGCAATTTTCATTATTAAATTGCTCCTTATTTTGCCAAGAAACACTATAGATATTGATTAATGTCGTAGGACACAAAAGTGTGGGTTTCTCATTTGTGTCTTTGTTAGAGACACCAGCATAGAGATTACTCTGAGTTACAAATCATTTTAGCGCATTGTGAAGATAGTAAAGTAATAATAAAAACTAGCCTACTCGTCATCTCACAAAGTTAATGACGTCATTTCCAACGTTTGTTAATATCTTCTTGAGATATGGGAAGTCATATGTTTGTGAAGTAATTATCCTTATTTTTTGAAACCAACAAAAATGACCCTTTAAATTTTGATAAAAACATAAGTCGTGTTTTAACGATAGGACTTTACATGCATGCTTGAGAAACGAGAAAGTTTCACCCAAATATTTTTCCACATTTTTGCGTTTACAACACCTAATTTAACCTACAAGCCGACATTATTAAATTTTAAATTCAAGATATTAGTTTGGGTGCTAGTAATTATCATGTTTTGAAATAGTGAAATATGCTGAAAGAGAAAATAGCTGTATTAGGTGTTATGGACACAACTTACCACATTTTTATCAATTTTTCTCAGAAGTTAATTAACATTTCGTTAAAATTGTTTACTTTACGAAGAGTTAGTCACTGTTTTATATGTAGTACACCATTAAAAAAATCGTTCTTGGCTGGTAAACAATGTGAGTAATAAAGTGGTAACTAATAAAATGTTGAAATGTTTTATTAAAGTTTTTTCCAAAACGATTCTGTACATTCTACCTTCTAAGACAACATTAAAAGCGCACATTAAATGAAACTTCGATATTGACATAAAACACTGTTCCTGAAATGATTTTTTTTAGGCTAATAGACAATGCAATATTAACTTCACTGAAAATATTCCTCTAGGTTTTGCTCGGCTGTCAGCCATTTACGGAGGCACGTATATGCTGGACAAGCCAATTGATGAGATCGTTATTGGCGAGGGTGGCAAGGTAGTAGGAGTGCGTTCTGGCAACGAAATAGCAAAATGTAAGCAAGTTTACTGCGATCCAACCTACGTTCCTGATAGAGTACGCAAGAAGGGTCGCGTGGTGCGTTGCATCTGCTTGATGGATCACCCAATCGCTAACACCAAGGATGCTCTCTCTACTCAAATCATCATTCCCCAGAAACAAGTCGGGAGAAACTCCGATATCTACGTTTCTGTCGTTAGCTATACCCACCAAGTAGCAGCCAAGGGCTGGTTCATAGCTATGGTATCTACAACAGTTGAAACAGAGAATCCCGAAAACGAGATTAAGCCCGGTCTAGAGTTGCTGGGACCGGTTCGCCAGAAGTTTACATCGGTTTCTGATTACTACGAGCCGACGGATGAAGGTTTACAGTCGCAAATCTTTATCTCGCAATCGTACGATGCTACGACTCACTTCGAAACCACTTGCTTGGATGTGCTGGATATCTTCAAGCGCGGGACGGGAGAAGAGTTCGACTTCTCTAAGATCAAGCACGAATTGGGGGATGAAGAACAATAATGAATTCGGTTATATTTGGTAAAGCAGAGTTATGTAGGTATTCTATGTGCAAGGTTCTTTTTATAATGATTGTTTCATTTTACACCGCTGCATTGATACTCTACTTCTATACAAAATAATTCTGTAGCTTGGTCCAAGCACAATTAATTTGTATATACAGTAACATTTATACCTTAGTGAATAAAAAATATCGCTTAATTTTAAGGATCCTGATGTGCAAAAGCATTAGCTTGAAGAAAAAATGAGAATTGTTAGTAATATTAAAGAATTTTTTATTTGCAATGGGAATTATTGTATCTTACGAATAAATCATTATGTGAAAATGTATTTATAGCTTTATGTTCTATTAGATATGCATGTCTGACATAAAATATCTTTGGTGATATGGCACACTGATGTATTATGTGATGGATCAAATATACCAAAAATACGAGAATTTTGTGTATTAACTCACTGAGCTTTCGCATTCCATATTATCATAGGTTTAATGTTCACAAAATGTTAATAGATCGTGTTTTGTGAAAACATCACAGTATTCTTATTATTATTCCTCATCACATTCAGCATTATCCAATCCCAGTGTGATATTAGGAATACTGTGGACAACTCTTGTTGTAAAATATTAACAAAAACAAATAAAAATCTTCAAAAGGGACAAAGAATTTTTCCTACCTTCCAAGCAAAGCTCTGTTGTGTTTTTAACAAGGTATCAAGTATCGTACTAATGCATTTTTACGTCTATTAAAGATAAATGAGTCAACAAGTCTTCTCTATAGTCAACAGACTAAAACTAAAAATATTTGCTCATAATTACATACTAGTGGGTTGCAGTACACATTTGGAAGTCAACTAAATGTTGCAGGGTATCAATGCTTATTTTTTCACAAAACGGCATTTCTTTTGGGGGGAGTTGTTCGAAATGAAATAAGCGTCTGACGTAACTTTAAAGCCGATCATCTTCATGTTTTTTATAACAAATTATAACTAAATAAATAACAATTTCTAGTAATATTTAGATTCAGTCAAGTATAGAGTATAATATGTAACAACTGATAACATTGAAAACATATACTTTCTGGCAGACATGATTATCTAACGAGAAAAATAGTTCACATTTCCAAAACGTTTAACTATATGTTTAATAAATCCTAAATAAAAGTCACCGTATATTTGTTTATTTTTCAGTGTTTGGGTACCTTTCACGGTTTTAATTTTTAGTTTTACTAATTTTAATTACTAAAATTGTTTGGTAATTAAATGAAACATGTCAAAATTAAAACAAAACATTTTTATTTTTTAACTTCAATACAATATAAATTATTATCTCTACATCCAACAAAAAGTCTCTGATCGTGCACAACTATCGAAGAAAAAATATTCCCAGGAATAAGTGTATCAGCCACCACGGCACCTTCAAAGTCCACTAAAAAAATACGTCCAGAATTACCAGCAACTGCTATTCGATCGCTGAATACACAAGGTGTCGTCAAGACGTCATTCAGTTCTACAATCTTTTTGATTTTTGGATGACCATTATCAATTTCTAAAATATATAAACTATGATTGTGACTTCCAAAAATGATCATATCGTTATATCGTATTAAGGAAGAATATAAATATCCGTTAGACTTAAATTCATCGATTTTGTCACCATTACTTGACAAAAATAAAATACAACCGTTTACATTCGGCCATGCGATTGTATCGTCAATGATACATGGTGAACCAAATATCGGATTGGCGGTCTTCAACCTCCACAAAATGTCTCCATTGGTTTCTGACAGGCACAGACATGACCCACAAATGGTGGCAATATATATTTTCTTCTTTTCTACAACTGGTGTGGCGGTTACGCTCTCTTCCACAGAAGTTTTCCAAACGCAAGAACCATTCTATGAAAAAATATGATGATTATGAGAAAAGTTTGCACAGCAACAACTTTAAGGGTTTTTTTTGCACGATCGATGACTTAATAAACAAAAAAATAAAATAAAAATTGATCGAAAAATGAAAAATTAAACAGACTTAAAGCTGTAGTGTTGCTACGGAATTATGCAACATACTGTAAAGCATATTTACAACTTTGGGTAAGTTTTAGTAGCATATTCTGGAATCTTTTATACTGATACAAATACGTTATCCTCACGAAACCGAAAATTTCAACAAATTGTCAGCATGTTTCAACAGTTATGCTGTCATCTTCTCGAATTAAACTCAATTTATGGCAGTGTAACTGGTGAAATACATTCACAGTAACTTGAAATTTTCGGTGTCGAGGGAATTTTAATGTGCTACTAGAGTTGTTTATTCTGTCTAACGAAACACGAAATTGACGTCCCCTGGCAGTCTTTGAGCAGAATATTGGATGATAAGTCTACCATAAATATAAATGTGGATATCTTCAAACATACAAAACTGGTGATATTTATAAAATAAAAATGCTGGATATCGACCGAAGACGTCGCATGATTGATATCATGACATGAAACGATTTTCGAGTGAAGCAATTTTTGATTAATGTTATACGACCACAACAGAACAAATTTCAGTACTACCATTGTTTAAGTATATTATAGTTGGACAACCTAATACAAATTTTACTTCGCCTAAATAGTGAGCTTTAGGACAAGGAATCCAGGGGGCGTGGGACAAATTTTTCGTCAACGCGCATTTTCACTACAGTGAGCCAACGTATTAGGTTTATTTTACTCTAAATCAGATGGCGCCATCAAACATTAGCAAAGACAAACACCCTTTACTCTGCTCTTATACGAGGAGTTATCCATAAATCCATAATTAACATTGTTCCGTAAACAGTAATGTGTATAAACATATATGTACAAAATATGAAAATATACTTGACATAAAAAATATGAAGCAACGCGTTGTAACGTGATAAGAAAGAATTGAATTTAAATGAATTTGACGCATATTTTTATTTGACTATATCTGAAGACTGACAGAAACTTTACAAGGGTTTTTAAACTGGTATAATTGTTTAGTTTTACAAGATTAAAGTAAAACAAGATTTTAAGTAAAATTTAGATTCGTGGTGTTACAAAAATATTAACACAAAATGAAAATATATGTTCAAAGTAAATAACAGAATGACATAAACTTTCGGCGTTAACATTACAAATAATTACAAGAGAGAAAAAAACGCATGAAGAACTTAAGAGGCATGTTTGTAATATCGAGTTGTTAAAGGCTGCTTTGAAGACTGTTTGTTTCTATGAAAAACAATTGCTGTTATCGGACATTTTGGTAGATTTTGTTCCAAAAATACGAGATAACTAATTGTTTCTTGAACTAGTTTCTAGAATAAGGTCAAAATCACACTAATATTACATCTGATTTGTTAACCACATGAATATAATTTACATTGAAATAAGTTACAGACATTGTTTGAAATGTTTATTATAGTTCGAAAACAAGATAAAATAAATAAATAAATAAAATGTGCAGTTTATAAACTTCAGAATTTTAGTATAAAAATAATTATGTTTGAAGCTTTATTTTGTCTGTTCCATTTTATTGGGTGTATTGGGCCCCTCTCGGGATATAACACCGACATCAGTGCACCGACCCAACGTTCTTCAACCGATGGGATGATTTATTACTTCCGTTATGCTGGCCCTACACACAGCGATTTGGTTTTCAGATTTTCGACTAGTATTTTGTTCACGCGAGCATCAAAAATATTACGCCGAAAGCACTTCTTCAAGTGTTATTTTTTTTAAGATATCATATTTGTCAGCGTTTCCAAAATTTTATTCTTTGCACAGGTCAACTAATTTTTCGTAAACCGCATTTTAAAATTTTTGTTATTGTATTTTTTACTTTTTAATTTTCTAAGGCATGAAAAAATCCCATATAGGTTCCTATGAATTTATTAACGAAATCAACTGATAACTTGCGCGCCATTTTGTGTTAATTAAATTAATTAACTTAAACAATGGTACTACGTTACGGCATAGAATTCGATTAGTTTTATGTAGTGAGAAAAAGAGTGTCATTGGAACTTCCAGAAAAAAAATTGATGATTTGACCGATGATATTATAAAAGATACACTACTCTGTGATTTGAATAGCCAACACAAAAACAAGAATTACGAACTTTTACAATTATTAATGACGAGAGTGAGAATAATATGTCACTCTTTGATCTGAACGTTAAGCTTTCAGTGATTGTTCTTGAAGTATCAAAATGGAATGCGTTTCGATCAAGCCAACTGTAAAAACAGAGTTGGAAGTTCTTTCGGCATTGACATTTATTTAAAAAAGGAGCCTACATTAGACACGTGTTTATGAAGTCGTCTGCTACATTGTTTGCAAATTTAAAAAGGACACGGAAGTTATTTACTGTTGGTACTGATTTACCTAATTTATGGATAAATTTTACACTTACTGCAGAAAAGCCAGATCTTAGTACAAGATCCGCTTGAGAAATCTTAGTTCCATCGGTTCTCTTATGTTCAATAAATTCGGAATAGTGATAACTAATGAAAATTCAGTTGAAACTGCTCAACAAAGAAATTACCAATTGTTTTTAATTATTATTCTCTTAATTATTCCATAAATTTGAATATTAACTAACTAGCCATAAGTTCCTTGATTTGTAATATTTCCGTTTTCGTTCTAATGGTTTTGTTGGGTTAACAAAGATGCAATTTAAAATTTTACAGCCTTAGAACGGTAACAATAACTTACTGCATTTAATGAGTAAACGATTCCGATTGTAAAACTGTAGCTACATTATTTATCAGACACAAATCAACTATTTAACTTACTTTCGTGTTAATACAATGAACATGTTTGTCATAAGATCCAAACACTATACTTGTAAATTCTTGACAGAGGGCTGGTTTGCATTTAATCCGGTCACACGTTGGGTAAAACCATTTAATACTGTTGTTTTTAAAATCAAGACAGTATAAGCATCCATCAAAGCAACCTACATATAAATAATTACAACATGAAGACACACAAGGAGATGCCTCAATAACATCTGGAAGGACAAACTTAGCTATTTCTTCACCTTTGACAGCATCTAATACGACGAAGATATGTGAAAAACTCCCAACAGCAAGTAAAATTTGTTCCCTAAAAAATAAATTTCAAAATATTTTCAAAAAAAACATAGTACGTACTTAAGTTGAAAGACTAGGGGCGAAGAATCCACACACGCTTGTAAATTGTATGTCCACGCAATTTTCAATTCTACATCAGTTTTTGTTTTTTTGGCAGCATTACTGTGGTCATTTTTAAAGGTTGAACGTTTTCTTTTATTTATTTGTACACAGTGGATGTTTTGAAAACATGTAGCAATGTCTTTCTCAAACAACGCTGTAACAAAATCTGGGCAATCTGCTCCTACTTCCTCTCTAAATTCATTCAAAAACTGAACTGCGAGAATCGAGTTGCCACCCAAGTCAAAAAAAGTTGCTTCTTGTAACTCTCTTAAATGAATTTTGCTTATGCCAAAATATTTACAAAACAGCGATTCCAGGATGTCGGTAGCTGTTTTTTTAACAGTCTGGCTTCTGTTTAAATAAATAGACTCCAACGCGTTTTTGTTTATTTTACCATGTGAGGTGACTGGGCATTTTCGAACGATATCTATGTAATCTGGGAAGTGTTGTTTTGGTAAAGTATGCAACAATTTAATTCGCACTTTATCTAAAATCTTATTCTTTGTTTGTTCATCAAAGGTCTCAATTATTAGGAATAGTAATAATTTGGACTGACTTTTCAACCAAACACATGTGTTTGATAAAGTCGTTTCTTTTTCTACCATTTGCTCAATATAAGACAAGTGTAATTTATGACCAAAGCGCTTAATAACGTCGTTTTTGCGCCCTTTGTAGAAAATGCCTAAATTATTAATCTCTGCAATGTCGCCAGTTGCGCGAAAGCGAGGATTTATTTCATCATTTACAAAACAAATTCTGTTTGTACTTCCAATGTAAATTTCGCCTTCTCCATCATTAATCGGATTTCCAGATTCATCTCTTATTTCTACCAATGTATCATCCAGTGCAACACCCAGAGGAACGTTTTCAATTTCTGCTGTTCCAACTTCAAAAATTGTGGCCCAACATGATATTTCCGTAATGCCGTACAAATTAAAAATTCTTAAACTATCAGATCTTTTGTAACTTAATAGAGATTGTGGGAAGCATTCACCCCCAAAAGCAAGAATATTTAATTTTTTGTTTAACAAAATGTCTATAATTTGTTGTTCAGACCATCTTGAAAACAATGATGGGACAATTTGTAAGACGTTTATTCCATTGTGGGGATGAAAGAGAGTATCATAGAGATACGTAGGATTAATCTGTGATTTTGAGATTGTGATTAAGAGACAAGCCCCATTGTTTAAAGCAAGTAACAATTCTACCATTGAAGGGTCAAATGTTAGTGTTGTACCAAAGTAAATTACATCCGTTTTTTGAATTTTAAAAATTTTGCTTAAGCTTGTTATGTTGCTTTCAATACTCTCTTTTCCAACTTTTACATATTTGCTTTCACCTGTAGTTCCTGATGTTTTAATTATGTAATACAAATCTTTGTAAGTTGTAGTCTGCTTACAGCAGTGCTTTTCCAAAGTGAGTTTATCTTCATTTAGGGTGAGTGTGGCAACACATTTTTCATTGTTTCTAAATGAAATGACCCATGTTATACATAACTGTTCTATTGTATGTAGTGTTTCTTTATCATCCAAAGGTAGGAAAATGAAACAGTGTTGTAATTCCTGTAAACTAATTTTAAATGATAATAAATGTACCGTTAGGGTAAAAATTACCTTAAAATAATGGAAGGAATGTATATATTGTGGGTCATTCGTAAACCGATGCACTGGTTATCACTTGTGATATGATTTGAAATAAAATTGGTTATAAGATTTTTTATTTCATAAACTTCGTTGTAACTTAGTTTCTTTTTAATAAGACCACGATCACTTAATATGATGGCACTGTCGTTTAAAGAAACAGAATCGTGTGGAAATTCCATCATTATTCTTTCTTTTATTTTTCAAACACAATTTTGATTTTGAGGTTAACAACTGATATTAAACGAAGTTAGCTGCATGTGGTTAGATTAATTTATTAAATACCACTAGTGAGTAAGGATAATCTGTTATCATTTTATGACTCTTTATTTAATGCATTTATTCAAAAACGAATTCAGAAAATCCAATTAAATCGAACTTTTAAAATAAACTTCGCAGATGCGCAATTTGTACACTGTCAATTGTCACGGCGCTAACTTCGTATTTGTTATGACGTTTACATGAGTCAGCTGACGTTTGTTTATTAAATTTTATTGTCAAATTTTGTCAATCTTTCGTAATTTCGTAGATTTGTTTTATCTTACCATCGTAAATATTGTGTAGTTTAATTGATCTAATTTCCCGTCAGAGGTGAGTGGGGGTCATTGCTTTTCTTTGTCTGAGTGAAAGGTCAACGAAATTTTTCGTCATAGGATCATCATGGGACGAATATTCCTCGAGCATATGGGAGGCAGTCGCCTTTTCTCATGCGCAAGATGTGATACGAATTTAACAAACCGATCTGAATTAATTAGCACGAGGTTTACGGGAGCAACAGGACGTGCTTTCTTATTTAGTCGAGTGGTGAATTTAACATATAGCGAAGTACAAGATAGGGTCATGTTGACGGGACGTCACATGGTGATTTGAACATTACTGGAAAAAACATAATAGGGAAGGTTTTTTTTGTAGGTGAGAGATGTCTCATGCAAAGCTTGTGACGCGAAGTTGGGCTGGATGTATGAATTTGCCACAGAGGAGAATCAAAGATATAAGGAAGGAAGGGTAATTTTGGAGAGAGCTTTGGTAACAGAAAGTGACGGAATGGAAGAAAGAGGTCTCAATGATCGTCAACATTAAGATTTGTGCCTAGTATATTATTGCCTGTGTTATTTATATTGTTTTAGTTTATAGATTCTAGTTTAGTTTTGTTTATAAAAGCTCAGTTTGCATTTTTGCGTTGACAGGTGTGTGAATTGTATTGTTGTAATGAGACTGCTTTGGTGGTTTAAACATTTTCTGCTGTTTGGAAAATCATTAAGATAATTAAGATTGCTTACTGTGTTATGGTGTATAAGGTGGTGCAATTTGACGGTTTTATGTGTTGTAATACAAGTGTTAAGCAGTTTTAAGTAGCTGCTTAGGTAATTATCTCTGCCCACATACAACTATCAATTTTCATAAGCGTAAGTGATACAAGCCCTCAAGTGTTCATCTGTTGAAATATAATGTGTGTAAAACATAGATCTGTAGATTTTTAATAAGTCATCAGTGGCTAATGCCGTTTTATTTGCCACTTTTTATATGATAACGATTAGAATTAAATTTGTAATTTTACAATAAAAAAAACTAATGTTTTGGTGCATTTCGTATGATACTGCAGTAAAAATAGAGACCACGAAACGTGATCATCTCTATTTTTGGGAATTTAAGTTTATTACCACATTGTAGTTTCTTTCATTTCGTTTAATAAAAAACTATTAGCAAAAATAATGTAACATTTATTTGGATGGCCTTGGTTTTTATGCATAAAGGCAAGAATAAACAGAACTATACAAAACAGATGACTGTCAAATAACGACACGCCCACATTTGAAACAATTGAAGCAAGTCATCAATAAAACCTTGATTGGGGTTTATCGATGGCTTCCTTAGATGGTCCCGCATTTTCCGACTCTCATTATCAGGGTGGATCTCGTCAACGTGTTGCCGTTTGGAAAAACTGTGTTACAAGGTCGCATTTTCCTACACAAAGGGGAAAAAATCAGCGAATGAAATTCATTGTCAAGTGTTGTTGCGCGGTGGAGGGGATAAAGTGGGGGAACAGCTGACAAACTAAACATTACGGACATCTTGCAATTTGCAGCGGGTGTCTAGTTTGCTTCAATGTTTTTAATATGACAGAAACGTAATAAGTGGGTGTAATCTGGCTATTTGTCATCACTCGGGGGTTGTTTTTCTTTTGTTTGTTACACAGTGTACTGTCATTTTTCCGTATTTTTTCTAAGTAGTGCGTGACGTCATGTGATTGCGTTTTCATGGAGTACTAGATTAAGGTAAATATACAATTTTCTCAAATTTTAGGCGCTTTGGGCAGGTTTTGGGACCGCCAGTCGTTACAAACGACCAATACAATCGCAATTTCAGTAACAGAAATGTTTCGGTGGCGCGGTTTAATTGAAAAAATCTTTTTCCGAATTGGTGTTCGGTAATTCGTGGTTCGTCCTTGGGCGATTTTGCCTTTAACCCTCGAGCGGGCGCGCGTTCTGACATTCCAAGAGCGGGCGCGTCGTGTATTTTGTACACAATGAATAGATGTGTCGTTTAAATGTTAAATTAATGTTTTTTATTAAGTAGAAATGTTGACATTTCCTTTATCATTTTATTATTTCAATAATTAAACAACATATGACGCTTTAGATATAAAAATTTATTTACAAAATTTAACAAGAATGTAAGACAAAAATCAATCACTTTCGATTTATCTTTTCCTATAAAGTTGTCATTAGATGACATCAAACTAGTTCCAGGATCATTAGGAAAATCTTCTGTATTGCTACAGTCCGCGAGAAGTTCAATTTCAGATTCAGAGTCGTGACCACTGAACGCAACTACTTCTTCATCCGTTTCTGAAATATCTTCATTTTCTAATTCAGTTGGCTCCGTTTCTGAGTCTTCATCATGCAGAATTCTATACAGCTCATCATCTGTTAGGTAACGTCTTCTAGCCCTACAAAATTTATATAAGATCACAAAATTTATTGGCATTCAAAAACTTACATATTTTTAGTTCTTTTTCAATCGGTGTCTTATACAAAAATTAATAAAACGTCCCTTGAAAATCTGAAAACAATAAAAATATGATTTTATAACTAATTAATTTCATGCAACAGGTTACTAATTGAATGAATATAAACAAATGTTGCGCTAAAAATGACAAAATATTAAATACTTACATCAGAAAGCGCGGCGTGTACTCTATACACAACACGGGAGAGATTCTTGTTTTTGCTAACTGTTTAGTTCTCACACTCACAAACAAAAGTTTTACTTGACCACTCGAAAGACAAAACTCGACTAGAGGAATACCTGAATCTACCCGACCGGATGTTGTATTATGCTAATTTTAGAACCAATAATCTGGTCACCGTGTACAAAATACACGTGCGCGCCCGCTCGAGGGTTAAAATAATGCCTATCCCAAGTCGCTTCAATTAAATATTGCGCTTCAAGATGATGTGGGTGCAGTGTAATTCAGGTTTTCGATGAAAATTCCCGAAATCACCTGCAATCGGACATCTGCTTGACGATTTTATTGGGAAAGTGTATAAGTAGGACGAGGTGTTTCGCAATCGCCGTTTTAAAATATTTCGTGAGTGTATTCTCTTCTTGGTTGTTTTTCGAATGACATTGAAAGTGATCAATTATAATTTCAACTATTAAATAACACGTCCGCCATTAGAATATACATATTTTTTGTACGTTTCGTATATGGAGCACGACTTGTCGACACTGATGTGACGAACTAACGCGTTAAATGGAAAGCGTCTTTTTCGCAGTTTTCTGTTTTCTTGTTACCAACGAGAAGCGCAGTGATCAATGTAGGTACAAATAATATAGAGGTCTTTAAAAGAGCACATTTTCTGTGATTCATGCCGTCTATAATTAGCGCATATGTTTTTTTATTAACAAAATTAATTGTGCGATCTGCTAAAGGGTGCCCCACACCTTCGCATTGCACATATTGACGTAATCACGCATTTGTTCATGGATGAGTGCTGATAGCAGCCGGAAGTATTTTTTTTGTGATACTTTCATTTAAGACTTAAACTTGTCATCGGTATTTGTCTTAAACATGGCTGCAATTAGGAGATTTTTCGTTTATGTACGTAATGGAGCGAGTAGGGGAGGCGGAGCTTCGCGTATTCCCCTACAACCTAGAAAAACTTGCCCACGTGATCTGCAGTACCTATAAAACATGTTTGTAATTTAAAGTATCTATAAATTTGTTAATGGCTCGCGATTTGTATAAATACCCTTCGGGTACCTGTTTAGCGTGACCTGGCGATTTCTGGAGCAAGCCGCTATACAGATTCGTGCAGAGTAATGAAGGCCAAGGTCTCACTTGCTCTTTCGTTTGTTTCTTGTATGCTCATAGCCTCCTACTACCAAATTTCTGTTTGATTCCTGCACCTGTTGTTCTAGGTTTATTGCTCGCCTATCATGCGCGCACAATTTGTTTCAAATGACCTTGCTTCTACATTTTTTTGTTTACCATAACATGCAAATATGTTCTCAAGTGCTGTGTACCATAATTTTTATGGCTAAAAAAAGCAACCAACTTATTGATAAGAATTCGTTATTTCCTTTTTTATCTAGATTGTGTTTTGTCTTGGTCAGAGAGATAACATATAGAACTGAAGGTGAAACCATCGGCTTCGCTTGTTGCACAATGTTTTCTCATCGTGGTTTTGGTTGGCGGGGGTGGTGAATAATTGTGTAATCTTATCGAAAAAAGGAACTGTTCCGATTCGATAGCTCGCTGGATAGTTTGCTGAGCTGCGTATACAAACGAAGAAAAGGAAATTGTAAATAAACATATACGATTCACACATGTTTTCAGCAGCAAGCGAATTTTAGAAACCAGATTTACTAATATTGCAAATATGCTAATTTCTTGTATTCAAGGATTTTGTTTTTAGCTGTCTCTGTTGAATAAATATTAAGTATATGGGTTTATTTGTGAGGATGTTTTACACCCCGAATTATCGAATTTTAAAGACGAACACTCGCAGGTTTTGTGAATTTGCAAGGTTATATATATTTCATGGTCATACTAACTAGTATGTATATGAGTATGACTGATTTTTTTTTAAATCAGATTAGATAAAAGTGCGTACTCACCCAATACTTTATCTTATGGGTTTTACTGTGTGGAATTTAAATTAATGTTACAGTTTTATTAGTAAATATTTTAAAGCGGTAATTCCGCTGAAAGATTATGTCCAACGTATTTATATCACACTGTGAAATACAGAAGTTGAATATTAATGTTACGAAAAGTTTTAGAATAAGGAAGTATGTGCTAGAACCGGTTAACGGACGATGCTAGTGCTAATTGTAACAGGCGTATTGATTTATTTACATTTTGTTCTTGTAAAACAGTGACGTAGTAATAATAATAAATTTCTAATGTGTAAAATTGGAATTAATTGTGCTACAATGTCAATGTATGAGAAAACGAATCCTTTTTATTTTGAATGGGGCGCCTATGGATTTTTGTTCATGATGTAATAGCTAAATCTTGATCACATTTTAATTTTGCCGGTTGAATGCAGTAATGTATGAAATCGATAAATAGTTTTTTAATAGTGAGCATTCGTTGGTATGTTAAAAGAGGCATTGGTATCCATACATTAGTCTTGTATATACCATAAGATCAATACGTGTCATTGTGGTTTTCATAATAAAAAATATACCCCAAAGGGCACCACTATGGTTTATAACAGTTTAATTAATTAAAAAATGTTCATCTCATTAGAATAATTTTATATACATTGTCATAAAAACTGTGTACGTGGGTAAAACAACTGCACCTTAATAAGTATAATAACCATTAACGATTAGCTGGACCGTAAAGTGCAATAATTGATAACCATTTTTTTACTTCCCGAGCATAATCTAACGGAAATATGGTAATAGGGTCATAATCTTATAAACAACGAAACTGCTTACACACAATGAAATTAGGTATTGGGAGAAGTGAAGATTACCAGAACTATTCTCTGTTATATTTTTAATATGTAATAACGAAAAGTTGTCAGTTAATTATACGAACTATGTTTAAATAAGGAAAACACTGCGGAGTTATTTGCATGAACTTTCTTGTTTTCGTAAGGATAATTAGAGTGGTATTTGTTATGCTTTCGAGGTGAGGAAAGTTCTGTGCAAATAACTTCACAGATTTTTTCATAAAGTTTAACGAGTACTGTCATAGTTCCTAGTGCGGACCTCCATTCATATTTTGAGAAGTCCAGGTCACAATTCTGACATTAAAACAGCATACGAGTATTAGCGAAACACAAACAAACTTTATCTCAAGGTGTAATTTACAATTACGTTTATTTGTTACCTTTTGAGATGACATCAATTTTTGATATGTACAATATATTATTAAACTAACTTTACCATGTTTGGACGGTTTAATGGAAATTGTACGCCATTTTTGGGGTAATATTAACATATCTTGTGTTAGTCATTGCAAAAAATAGGGCATACTATTAAAGCTAAATATTCCATCCTAGGATATATTTTTAAAGTAGAAATTTTCTTCATAGTTTCTTATTTTGAATTTTGTAGAAGGAATGACCTGACATCAAAAATAAATGATTAATTGAGAAGCGATACCAGGCAGCACTCCAAGAATGTTAAATTGTAAGTTCGGTTAACTTTTACTGTAGGTGTATCGAGTGTTTCTGTGAAAGTTGACAAAATCGTAATGCAATCGTTGTGTGTATATATTTTACTGATAAAGCAACTTCCTTTATTTTTGTAGGATTGTGTACAATCCAACAAGTGTTTTATTCATAATCAAAACATTTACGTGAATTCTAATGCTTGCCATCAAGTTGGAAGATGATCTTTATTAAAAAAAATATTTCGATGCAAGCACACTTTTTTGTTTATTAATAAAATTATACACTTAAAACTTAAACTAGCGCCAAGTCGGGTTAAAGATAAACTAGTTATAAACCCTATCTCGAAGTTCATGGTTGCCACACTGTGAACAGGGACAGGACTACCTTATTTTGTAACGAATTTGAGTAAGGTGTTTGTAAGGGCCGTGCATTGTGTGTTTGTATGTGGACATTTAGCAATTTTCTTGAGTAGATCCCCGAGATTTATGTAAATTTTAAAGTGGCGTAGGTTATCTAACACAGATTAACGAGGCCTTTCCTAGGGAGCGTGGTTGGTGTAAATGACGGCGATAAGGTATAAAATTGTATTAATAATAATTTTATTAACATACAACAGTACCTGTCAAGAATATAGTAATCTTATAAACAAAAAGCTGATTTATTTCGCTGTAGATTCAAGTAGCTAGATTTTTCCGTTGACTGTGTAAATTTGTAGTTCATTACTACATTAATTTATAAAAACATGGTATTAAGTTTCCGTCAATGATTAATGTCAAAAAGTTATTTTAAGCGTGGAGAGCATTCTCTAATAGGTATTTTATGGACTTCGTGTATATGTATTATGTGTACATAAAATCATGGTGATTTACAGCATGTTTTATGTTTGACTCTTTCGAGCTAATTAGGGGCAGTTTAACTTATCTCGTGCTCATTGTGACAAGTTTTTACGTCATAAGTTTAAATTATACCTGATTGATTATTGCCTTAGGAGCAATAGCCTCCATTGTTCACTGTGTAATTAAATATGTTTGTACAGTTGTTTTATTATCAGAGTAGACCAACCGTTTTCCTTATCTACCTTCTAAACGCGTTTCGGATATTTTCTTTGTTCGTCATCTCCAACATTTTTATTTATTTTTCCGTGAACCGATCGCTTTGTATCACCGTCCTTTCTTTTCCAGGATTCTTCCCGATTATTTTTCCGATGAAAACACGCTGAAGACGCCACCATGAACTACATAACAATGAATAACGCTTTCATCAAAACGCACACCAATTTTCTTCCCGAGGCTCAACCTCGGGCTTTGCATTTACCTTATAATTCAGTTACCGAAAACAATAATCAAATAGCCACTAATGGCGACAAAACCATCGAGGAGGTGTGGTCCAAGTATAATTTCGATGCGAATAGTGTAACTACGACGGCGACGGTACAAAATTTTAACAAGACCTGGGCGACTCAGGAGGAGAGCAACGAGGCGGAGAAAGTGGAGGAGGAGGTGAAGGTGGAGGATGATGAGGAAGAGGAGGAGGCGCCCAAAGAAAAGGAGGAGGAAACGTCACCGTCACACCATGCGAGAAGACCGATGAATGCTTTTCTTATTTTCTGTAAAAAACATAGGCCGATAGTTCGAGAGAGATTTCCGAATCTGGAAAACCGGGGAGTTACCAGGATCCTAGGCGAGTGGTGGGCGCTGCTTGACGAGGATGACAAAGCTCCGTACACCGGCCTAGCTAAAGAGGTAGGTTTCTGTTGATGAATTTTTTTATAGCTCCGTAAGCTAGTGTTTTCAAATGCGCAGCGCACCACTGCATATCAGTAAAAGCACTGATAAAAGTAAAGTGCATTTGTTTCTAGAAGTTTCAATTATTTGCTATATATATCGAATATTCTGCACTTTTGACTCCTTTATGTTTCGTATAAGATGATTATAAAAGATCGTAGGTACATGAAGTTAGTTTTGGAAAATTTGTCACTCAATTTTTAGTGTGATGACAATTTATTAGAATTTGATTATGTTATGACAGATATTTGTGACAGGTGACGAGCAGTCATGAATTATAACAACGAGGCGGCAAAATTCCCGAAATTTCAAAGTTAACTTGAGGATGATTTTTTAGATTTAACACAGGAAAGCAGTTCAGGTTAGAAAAGTTTAAGATAAGGACAGAGTAACATTTTTTATTTACTATGAAAAATAAATTACAATATTAATGCCTTTGAAAAATTGATTGTAGCATATGTAAAACAAACTTATTTGACCTCTTGGAATGAATTTACATCTATTGTAAATCAAAATAACTGCTTCAGACTTGAAAGAGGTAAGAATTGTGGCAATTGCAGAGTAATTTATGGTGCATTGTGATGCATATTTGGCATCTTGTTTCCAGTGTTATTATACTGTTTACAAAAAAATTGACTGTTTCTAAAATGTTAACAGATTTTAATACAGCTGACGAAAAATAAATATTTATTAGTTAAACAAATAATTTTCGAAACTGGAAAACATTAAAAGGAGTGAGATTATCTTGTAATTGGTGTGACCCTTAAAAATATGTTGTAATTTGTGTGCATTCTTATGATGCAAAATCGGATTTTCTAGGCTGTTAAAATATGGTGATGGTTTGGATTTTACATCATAATAATAAATGCTGCAAATAATAGGAATAATTACGATCATTGAAAGCGCCAAGTCTAAATTTGTCATACTGATATCATACGCAAACATAGAAATGATTCGCAGGTTTGGAGGATCAGATTATTTGATTCGTGATTTAAGGAAGTTTTGAATGTTCTGCGATCATCAGCTCTAATCATCATTTGAGTTGTTTGATAATAATCTTTGAGGATCACTAAAGGAACACGTTTTTACAAGTGTCAATTGCCTAGCGGATGTAGAATCTTGATAATGGTATATTCCTCCATCTGTCATAATGTCATTTTCAAAATGGTGCTGTGGTGCACTCATTGTAGTTTATAAAATGGCCGACTCCAGCTTTCTTGAACTGGGTAATTCGACCTTCTTTAAAACTTTGAATTTAATGAAATTTGTGGATTAAAGATTTTGAACAACAATGTCAAAGTCGCACCCATTTATTTGGTGGGAGAACAATAAGAATAATATATGCTAATTTTGTTGAAAGTCACTTTCACAGTCAAATATTTAAAAATGTTATGTGCTCGGAATATTCTGTAATGCATACACGCGTTTAAATTATTATCTTTAATTTATTGAGATGTGTTCCAATTGGATCAGTATTTCCAATTGGATTTCTGTGATGCACATTTACATTGAACATTTTTTCCAAGTGGAATCTCAACAAGATGGCGAAATTTACTAATTTATGATAATAGAACTACTTAGTTGCCGCAATTTGTATGTTTTTTTTTGTTTTTCAATTGACCAGTTTTGGAGTTTTTGAAAGTATTCGCCTGTTTTATCTGTCTCCATTGAATATTGCAAGTGAAAATAGAGTTAGTAGACTTGGAATGCATTTTTTACATAAATAAAATAGGGCTTTCATTAAATATTGTTCACTGCAGACGTTGTCACAAGTTGTATAAAATTGCACTTGGCACACCTTTGGACGTTTTGTACATTATTTACGATTTACTCCGAAACTGAGTATGGTAGCTCTGTTAAAATTTGAAGGGAAAACGGGAACTTATAGAGTAAATTTCGTTTTCGAGGCTTTTTGGGTGGACAAAAATCACTTCTTGTTGCTGGGCGTTGCCGTTGTTTCGGATTTCTTGAAAAAATATTACCGGAACGCATGTGTTTAATTTTTGACATTGACGGATGACTTATCTGTCGGCTAACAGCATGATGTGGTTTGTGCAGTAGTACCACCTATATGATTAATTTACAGCCAATTCTAATTCGTTTTGTTTTCGATCGCACGGAAAACCTAACGCATAACGAAGAAATTTATTATTATATATGTCGAAGTTTGTATAATTGAATAAAGACCAGCGAACAGTAAGATAAATGTATATTGATAATGACAAGTGTTAGATAAATAAGAATAATAAGAATAGAATATTATGTGACCGTGCGGTCGAGATAGATGACTGTTAGTTACGAATTGAGAATTGTGAATTGAATGTGTATGTATGAGTTAAGAATTAAGAATGAATGCTACCCTGTGTTCCAAGGTGGGGGTGGCTCTGGCTCCCACCCTTACGGGTGGGGAGGGGTGAAACAGGTCCCCGCCAGAGGCTCTAACATAACCCCCCGCCTTGAAACAATTACATTGTTTTAAGACCAAAAATAAACTATATGGAATATTAGAATGATAAATACAAATGAAATTACATGAATGGGATGGATATTGTTACAGAAAGCAATGAACATGAAGAAATGCATTAAACTTTAAAAAAAGATATCTAAAACAAATTACATGTGTACAATATCAGTGAATATACACCTAAAAGTAAATTTGCAACAATTATAATGTACCAAATCAATGAATAATACGATGAGTGAATAATATGGCGAATGAATATAACAATAAGACAAATATGAATTAATGTACATAGTACATTAAACCAACAAGGAGATGCATATAACAAATTGACAAGATGTATGCAATATGGTTAAATAGAATTATAATGGATGCGATTGCGAAATTATCTTTTTCACTTCACCGACACTACACACACTACCACTTCCTTTGCAAAATGATGTTGGAGGGCCGCGTCCTAACCGCCACTGTAGACGCGGAAATTTCTCCTCCTTCACGAGGACCCATCTTGCCATTCCTGGAACGTTGGAAGATGGCCTTTGCCACCCTAACCTGCCTTTCAGTGTGGTCAAATATTCGAGGTACCACGACTTCCAGAAGTGTTGCTGGTAAGTGTGGATGAGGTGCGAAGGGATGGCCTGTTGAGGGGAACGACGGCGTGGTCTTTTCCTGAGGGACCAGTTGATGGCTGGCCGAAAGAGGCATTGGCCAGGTATAAATGCGACCAAATTATTGCGGTCGCTGGACAGAGGCTTCGAAAGGCGCGAATTCAGGACGGCTTTAACCCTGACAGTGAGCGCATACACGCCCTCGCCCTCAAGATGGTTTTTATCAGTAATTTCGTTATACTTCCGGCTATTCATATTTAAACTTTTTGAACTAAGATTTAAACGGTCAGCAACCACGCAGAGTTTAGTGGCAGAAATGTAAAGATTTAAAACATAATTGTGTTGCAGGTAAATGGAATTATTTAACGAATTTTCGTTAAGTACCTTCAGGTGCACAAGGTATAGGTACTTCCTTTGAGAGACAATAAAACCCTCGTTACGTTTATGATCACGTCCCTCTGCTAACAATAACAGTTGGAGAGCCAGTTCTCGGGAATTTCCTAATTTAGGTAAATTTTTGAAATAAAGGCCTGTGAAACGCCCCAACTTCCTGTCGACTGATAATAGCCACTTTGGGTGCATTTGTGCAAAATTCTCTAACCGCGGCTGATTTTCCGAAAAGGGGTGTTTGACCATGAAATAGCCATCGGGTGAATGGCCTGTGGTAGTATACTGAAAAGGGGTTGCACAGAGATCGCTTTTAAACCCTTTGCTTAATGACCTGCTTCCGGTTTTGACGGTTTCAGCCTCCAAGAACCGAGAAATAATTTGGGCTGAACTAATTTTGTGAGGATGGGAAGTATTATTTTTTAAATATGCAAAACTGCCACTAAGAATCAACCCCAGCGCGGTATTTTGAAGCACCGGTGGGTTTTTACTGAAATGATTTTTTATTTTGGGTTTAGTATTTTCGGAATGTTTTTTGTTGTCGAGTATTGCTACGTTTAACGTATTGTCTTTAATATTTGAGTCTACGGATTTACATAAATATTGAGATCTACATTCAAATTGGTTACAGACTAACATTGGGCCATAGTTTTTCGAATTAACTGCAGTACTTTTTACTTTGTCTAGTGCGGTAGATGACTCTGCATTAGACGTTTTATCTAAATTAACTTGAGATACGCCTTCGGAGTTGTAACAATCATTAAAAAGATTATTTTTCTCTTCATTGGGTGTTGAATTTGGAAATTTTGAAGGATTTGATATTACACTAGGAGTTTTTGAAATAACGGAATCAAGAGGAGATTTTTTACCAATAGTGAACCGCAATTTACGTAGAGCATTGAAATGGGTTTTGTGAATTTTGATGGGTTCTCCATTTCTTAATTTGTGTACCTTTAAAGGCTTTAAATTTTGACAAGTTTTTTCCAGATCCGTGGTTGGTACGTTATTGTTTATCTTACATGAATTCGAGAAAGTACACAATGGAATAGTTTTCTCAATGAGAGCCTTATATAATTCGGATATTTTTTGAATATAATTTAGCACTTCTCTGATATTATAAATTATAGGTTTGATCGTTTCCGTGTTACTCGTGTCATTCGGGACTACTATTGTTTCAGATTTATGCTGAACTACAAGCATTTGTAATTCTGAATAAATTCGCTGTACGTCTTCATATCGACGCTTTAAGTGGCGTCTTTTTTGATGATTTGCAACATTTGATATAAAATTAGAATGTGAATCTATTTCGCTGAGAAGAATTGAAAATTTAACAAAAGTATTGTCTTGGATTACCACCATCTTGAGTACGAGAATAATGTATTACACCAACCAAACAGAATTAAAGCTTACCTGGAATCCTGGATTCCTGGATAGAATTATCTTGGCTGACGCTGAATGATACTTGAGGATTTTGCACAGCACTCGCGGTCGTCACCGATAGTTGAACACTGCGCGGATGATTTCTGGGTGATGTTTTGATAACTACTTTGCTGAATTCCAGCCGATGAATGATATGTTGAGAATTACACTTATCACTACCACTGTTATTCTGTCGCTAATCCGGCTCGAAGGACCATGTCTAAGTTTGTATAAAGGAATAAAGACCAGCGAACAGTAAGATAAATATATTGCTAGTGACAAGTGTTAGGATAAATAAGAATGATAAGAATAGAATACTATATGACCGTGCGGTCGAGATAGTTGAATGTTAGTTACGAATTGAGAATTGTGAATTGAATGTGTATGTATGAGTTAAGAATTAAGAATGAATGCTACCCTGTGTTCCAAGGTGGGGGTGGCTCTGGCTCCCACCCTTACGGGTGGGGAGGGGTGAAATAGGTCCCCGCCAGAGGCTCTAACAATATACTTAAACAATTCTGTGTAGTTGCAAACTTATTCAAGGCAAGTTTGTTCATCGTAAATTCCTTATTGCAAGTCTTCAACCGCAAAGTGTACCGCATTTGTGGTACTGGATAGTAGAGGGTACCGAATTGGATATGGCATAACAAAAACATATTTAAGTGGGCTTTCAAATTCATTTCTACTTGTTCGGTATATATTGTGGTTGAAGACTCCTAGTTGGAGTTTTATGGTGGATACACCTAGGGATTTAAACCTTAACCGATATAACCGTAACCCTAACCCAAAACCCAGTTTTTTCTGTTTCGAAAAGCAAAATGTTGAGAGAAAACTAATTAATGTATTAAAGCGTAACCCTTTTTAAAATTAGTGTTTTGTACAGGTTTTTTCAAGTTTTAACATGCAGCGGCATAATTACTTGCATACCTGTTACACAGGTTAGCGTTGTACACTTATTTTCGACGTTAAAATTTATGTTATTATTCTTGTAGCTATTATAATTTATTTGAACAACAAATTTTAGCAAGAGCAAATGAAGTGACCACTCGAAAGGAACATTTTACCATAGAGAATTGCATTTAATTAATTTAGAATGAAGTGGCATTTGTTACTTTATAAAATATAACTTAATTAACTGAAATGGAACCTTTTACACTTCAGTTTTTATTATGAAACGCAAATCTTACCTTCAACGTCAACTGAAGTCGTAACCGTAATCGAAACCCTTGCACAGCATAGCAGATTTTCTCTAAGTATAACAGGCAGATTTTGTCAATTGGCTATACATTTATTTTTTACCGATACTCGAAAATCAGATAATAAAACGTTTGTATTGTAATTATAGAACAATATAACAAACTTTTCTACAATGTTGGTGTGAAAAAAATGTAGATATTTTAACCTTGAAGAATCAAAGGTTATTGAACAATACCTACATTTGACGGAGAATTGCCAAACATTTTCCGCTTTTTCGATTCGATAAAGCAAGTTCTCTTGTTTCAGTTTACTGAAAATTTATAACGTAAATAGAGACCAGTTCGTATTGATTACACTGAAATCTTTTTTGGTGAAATAACGACATTACGTTGGCTTCCATGTACTATCAAGGGAAATACAAAAGATGAAACAATGCGAAGTATTATTGGAGCTGTGTTCAAAGATTTAAATTTCTAGTATGAAGTTAATATTCCGTGTTCAGTTAAATTTGGCATCAAACAAGATCACAACAAAAATTAATTTGTTCGAACGATGCAGTAGGCGAAGCTTCTGTCTGCGTTAAGTATGACTGATACAACGTCACAATTATGGAGTCACCAACTGTATTCCGGTTGAGAAAGGCCAGTGATTGAATGTGGCAACTCTGATAATACCGAACCAATAATGTACGATTTCCACTTTAAAGCATAACCCGATATTAGTAAATAATTAAATCTATGCCTAAAATATACCTTTCAGATCAATTTTTTTAATAACAAGACAAGAAGGGCAATATGTTTGCAAAATTCGGAACGTGTTGCGAAGAAAGCGTATTGTTTCATTTATTTGGTTGGCATCCGTGCTTGGTTATTTTTTTTAGATTATCGGAAGTAACAGTTGCCAGGCGGTGGCGGCCGAAAATAAAGTTATAATGCATTATTCCTTTCATGTTATTTCAAACTTTGTGCGTAATAATGTTTCAAAATTAAGAATGAGTTCTAGTTTTTTTTTATTTATTTAATGTTACTATTTTCCATCTATAATAAGGTGTTGTACCTGTTGGAAAAAATGATCTATTATTTAGTTAATGATTTACTATTATTGTTAGTAGTGTACTATTAGAGAGTAAGGAGAGGAAGCATAGTGAAATATTTTCCACACAACCACTAATTATTATTTATTTATAACAGACAAGTGTTTGAAAAACGCTTGTATTGGCATTTAAACTCTTGGATTCAACTATGTATATTAAACCGTAATAGTTATAGGACTCTATAGTAGAATAATCTCTATAGTTGATCCGGAAAAGTTTAATTGTTTACTAAAAAGAAGTAATTTATTTTCCAGTGGCTATACTATAGTTATAATATTCTCTATATTTAGATGGAATTTGAAGCCCAGACAGATATGTATATGTAGCTCATTTACGTAGTTTTGAATCAAATATGTTGTCTATATAGAGTTTTTTTTATAGATGAAGTCTGGCTACCATACCAGAAGTAAAAAAGTACCTGACAGTTGATACTAATTTTCCATTTTAATGTGGCAACACTTTAATAAAATTCCTGCCCCATATTTCTTATTGTATTTATTAAGTGCATATTGTAATAGCTTTCTACAAAAACGAGTTATAAAGTCACATTCAATCAAGTGCTTACGATGTAAAAAAATATGATTCCTTTTGAATAACTTATGTTGGAGTTGTAATTGTGACAAGGTCATACTGCAGATTATTTCTTATTAAGTTAAATTATTTGCATGTTTTAACATTTTTTTTGTAAAATATTCAGAAATTTCTCATTTTATATACCTAGAATTAAGTATTACAATTTTCACTCCGTTAGTGTTTGTTTAGAAATGATAGTTAATGTGGGTTGCTTACACGTACCCCATTTTCATATCACATTAAGGCCTTAATGAAATTGCTGGAGAAAAATTTTGGTAGGCTGAGTAACATTCAAACTCTGGTTTTATTCACTCTCACAAGGAACTTTTTTAAAACGATTCAGCATAATTGTTTACCTGTTTTTGTTAATTTATTAATTAATTCATTTTAGCAACTAGTAAAATGTTTCAATTATTCATTTGAACTTTTTAAATTGCAGTACAAAGATGCCTTTTTGTCTGCCAATCCTGACTTCAAATGGTACAAACTTCCAGCACCTCCACTCAGAACTCTGAATGTGAGGCCCACGAGCACCCATAAAGTCCAATCACCAGTATCTAGTCCCACCCATAGTTTAACAGAATCTGAATTTACCCCAGGTAAATTAGCTGACGAATCCCAGTTGGGCAGTCTGACGTCATTGATGAATAACAATTTCACATCGACGAAAATCGCCAAATCAAATGAAAATAACAATAATATCGACAAAAACGGCTCGGATCAAGCCTACGATTTTTCGCCGAAAAGTCCAGTCAATTTAATAAAAACTTCGCTACCTCCTAAACCTTTCAAGAAGAGGACGTTCGAAAGATGTCCAGACAATAACAAGAACGTGGTTCGAAACATATTACAGAACGACATATCTGAGCAGCAACATGATGGCTCAAACATGACAAACCAAGATCTGATGGACAAAGTCGTTGAAAAGATCTTTACTAAACCGGAAGACTTCGATCGTAAAGAGGTAAGCAGAAAAGCGGAAACGCTTGTGTGTTATTTAAAATATTGATGATGTGTTATTTTAGGTCCGAAAATCCGGTAGACAATGTAAAGGCAAACGTTACGAGAAGTTTATGGTAGAGGGACGTCTGCTGGGTAACAAGCGCGATGCCAAGCTCACTTCTCAACGGAGTTCCATTGAAAATGAGCTCAATATCAAGTTAGACAACAAACCTGAACCAGAAACACCAAATTTAGATCACACCATCAAGCGTTTAGCCGAAAGGACCAATATGAAAAGCATCTTAGAAAATCAGAAGAACGAAGAGAGGGTACGAACGCACTCCGAAAGTCACGAAACGAATTTCAATTTAAACCAGAGGATTAGCAACCTGCCAAGTTTAAGCTATGACGTGTTTCATCAGAGGAAGAAAGACAGCAAGAAGAGAAAAAATAGGATAAGAACCGACAGCGAATCGAAAAGTAAGGTTGCCAAACTTGTGAAAAACGAAGAACAGCCGGTAGGTTCCAAGAAAAGGAAAAATAAACAAAGTATCACACATCTGAAGGAAGAGAACGTGGGATGTGATCTTTTAGCGTTGGCAACGTTGGCGGAAATTGCGGCGAACACCGAGAAGATCAACTCGGAATGATCAGGCCCTTTCCACGCTTAAAAGGCTTAAGAAATTATTTTTCGCAATAACTATGGTATATTCCATGTACATCGGGTATTTTAGATGCATGTGCCTCATTAACGTAAATTCAAAATGTAAACAGACTCTCACAAATTCTATTTGGCAAGCATTTCATATAGCCTTATTTCCAAGTATTAGAATTGTGATAACCTGTGTATTTTTTGAAGACTTTTTTTTGTAAATTACTCGTTATGTTTGTTGTTATGTGTTAGCTACTTCTAATCATTTAGTATACCAAATCGTTATCATGTTACAATTTTATTAATTATATGTTAATCTTAACTTTTAAAAAACGCAATAATTTTAATGAGATTTTTTGTTACGTTGTACGATCTGATTATATAATGATCTTGTGTTTTGGTTAGAGATTATTATATTATTGCACTAATATTCATTCTAGTTGATAAGAAGTAAAAGTACTTCCTTAGTCATTTTGTACAATTATGAACTAGTCTCATTTTACTGATATGTGCTTCAAAAACCATCGCTTGGCCGATGACAGTATTGTTTAATTTTGTTGCCCGTGGCAGTCTCTCAATTATTTCAGTTCATAATTGTCCAACTAAAGCGACCAAATATAATATTTTAATAATGTAAGCCTTATAGTTGTAGTTTTAAGATGAAGAACTTTATCCATATTATCATTTAATAAGATTTTATAAAGAAATACTTGACTATGTGATTGACCAATTGTTGATCGAGTTTCGTTTGTATCAGAGTTTATTGGAATTGTAAGGTATAGACGTGATGATTGGAATGTGATACTTTATTTTTCTATCATGAAATGGACAGGGATATAAAGATTTATTTATATGATTGTATAGATTGTGCCTTTTTATTTATTTATAAAGTATATTAAAAATTTATGCCTTTAGAAAGGTAAATCAAATATGTATCAATTTTAATAAAATTTATTACGTAACATTATAATGTAGCGAGTTATTTTTTGTCAACCTGCTTCCATAAAAAAGTCAGGCAATTCAGGACTGTCAATAATTTACTAGATTAGGGGAAATGCAAAAACAAAAATATACTTTTACACATTATTCTATTACACAAAATAGCTTATTTGTAAAATTCATGCTCGCTCTCATCCTTCTTTATGTTATTTTTATAACCTTTTTCAAAGTCTTTCGGTAATACTATATAGCGATTTTCTCGGACTGCATGCATGCCAGCCTCTTGACAAATTGCGTTAATATCAGCTCCTGAAATGCGATCAGGTCTCGCAACAAAATCTTCCAAATCCACCTACAAACAGTAGTTTCCAATAAACTTTGTTATTTATTAGAAAATAAGCCTTACCTCTTCAGAGAGATTCATCTTTGACGTAATTGTGCTGAAAATTAATCTTTTTTGTCTGCGATCCGGTAATGGAAACTCAATCTTTCTGTCCAACCTACCAGGTCTTAGAAGGGCAGGATCCAATGTATCAGCGCGATTAGTAGCCATTATCACCTATAAAGATTGGTTTAGGTAACTAACCTTCATAATTAATTTTGATTCAATCTTACATAAATATCATGCCCTCATTACAAAAAAAGTGATTGTTACTTTAATTTACTAACGCAAAATTAAAACTGTTTAAATTTGCCGCTCCCCTCATAGCTGACATCTATTAGTCATACTTTGACACAGTGCCAATTGGACAATTTGATTATAATTCTTATTTCAACAAGACGGAATGTCAAACTTACAACGCAAAATATGTCATTTAATAAATTTATTATAGGGACTGGTCATGATAAATTTAGCTAACTTTCGTCATGCTTGTGGTGAGTAAGCAGTAAGGTCACTATACATTCTGAAGGTGTAGCAAATTTAGTAATATAATAAACATAAACTATTGATGTTAAGTTCTGAAAATTAAAGCGGACGTGTTGCTTCCTCCAAAAGGTCCTATTTAAATCTAATTTTGATGATATTTACCTTAACATTAGTTGTTTGATCAAAACCATCCATCTGATTCAGCAACTCCAACAAAATACGTTGTACCTCCCGATCAGCTCCAGTCTGCGCATCAAATCTTTTTGTGGCAATTGCATCAATTTCATCAATGAAAATGATGGCTGGCGAGTTTTCTTTCGCTAACCTAAAGACGTCACGCACCATTCTAGGACCCTCCCCTAGATATTTCTGGACAAATTCAGAGCCCACAACTCTTATAAAAGCGGCTGTAGTGTGGTGTGCTACAGCTTTAGCCAACATAGTTTTGCCACAACCAGGTGGACCATACATCAAAACTCCCCGTGGAGGATCAATACCAATTTGTTTATATAACTCAAAATGTGTTAAAGGAAGTTCCACTGCTTCCCTAATTTCTTGCTTCTGCATATCCATACCACCAATGTCACTGTACTGAACGTCAGGTTTTTCATCAGCCTGCAACATGCTGATGGAGGAGTCTGCCTCAGGTGGAAGAACATCAACGAGAGCATTGCTATGTTTATGTAGAGCTACACTTGCTGAGGGTTTAAGGAGTTCGCGGTCAATTGTAGAGAGAATGCGGACATAGTAGTTTGAGCCAGTTGTAGACCTAAAGAGATACAAGATTTGATGGCGATTTAAAAAAAAATCATTGTTTAAATATTACTCACCCTACAATTCCCGTATTTTGATCCACAGCTTCAAGAAATTGACCAATAACCAAAGGGACCGATTGGATGCGCTTCACTTCTTCCTGGGCATGCAAATATTCCTTCTTTAAGTTACGTTGTTCATCTTTGATATATTCTTCCTGGACTTCAAGGAATTCAAGCATTTGCTGTAGTTTCTTGTATTTAGTGTATAAATCCTCCATATCGCAGTCCTGGAGATTTGGTTTAACCTCCGCGGGGCTACCCTCGTCCTGGGAAGGATACATTTGGAAAAATTTAACAATTATTTTTTAGGTTTAGATAAAAACAGTTGAATGGCTGGTGACGTTTTGGAAAATTATTTAATAAAAATCACAGCACACTTGCAGGTAATTACCTTTTCGGGAACAACCACGTCCATCACTTCCATTGTTTGCAGCTTTTTAATAACTTTTAAGAAATGAGGTTATGTTGGGATGAGTTGGAAAATCGACAATACTTTGTGTGGAAACAATGAAAGATGGCGCTAAATTTGACGTAAATATTCATGTAAATATTACAGAAATTTATAAGTTAATTAGTTCAAAGGTTTATACATAAGGGGGCACCACACAAGACGCGGGAACAAGGCCGACTGAATTCATGCGTTATAAGGCCTGCTCACTCGGGCTTTTTAAAAGTTCTTGTCAGAAGTTTAGAAAGTGGCGTGCTCTTGTGAGTTTTTTTATAAATATTGTGACGTGATTGTGACAATCATTTGTCGTTAGCAGTTAAAACAACGAAGTAAATTAACCAATAGGTTATGTCAATTTGTCAGCTTTTATTTACAAAGAAGATAATAAGTTATAATACTATTATGAACACTAACGATAGATAGAAACACAAATTATTAAAACACGAAAACAATACACAGAAAACTTGTAAGTATATTAAACTTTTAATACCTTTCTACTCGAGGGTTTGTTATCCAACATTTTTCTCTTTAAAGAGTCTGTTTTTTCCAGACAAATATTGGATAACACTGGTCTAGCTACTATAACAATTAGCATCACACAAAATTCACTCTGGTGCTGTTGGCAAGACAATAATGGGTTTTGTAATAAATGTGGTTCCAATATTTTGATGAGTTGACCGCATGTTCTGTTGAAAGTTAAATGTGGTAACACCTCTTGTGTTATTTCAGCAATTCTTTTGACGAGTCCTACAAAAGGTTCGTTGGGGTACAGTAAACCTCCACGATCTTGGAGTGTGATTAATTTCATTAGAGGTCCAGGTAATGTAGTTGAGAGCAGTGGTGCTACACAGTCGTCACATTGTTTTTTTTGTTGCAGCTTTAAAATAATGTATCCCGACAGGAAAGCCACAGAGGCAGAGAATAGATTTGGCTCTGGTATTTCATTCTTTTTTAAATTGTGTATTTTAGTTCGTAGTGTCGCTGGTAAAAGTATTTCTTCAAAGTCTTCATCAATATTTTGTGGTCTCACACGAGAAAGTTGGTTACGGCTTATATTACTTATAGTTTTTGCTGTGTTGGCAGAAGTCGATGATTTTAAAATACCAGAGCGCAAAATTTGCCGTAAACCATACTCGGCAGCACGAGCATCGGTAGTATCATTTGAACCACCTTTCAAGCGTATATGAGAAAAAGTTGCTTCAACAGCATCGGAACTGAAACAACGAGGTAAAACATAATAAAATCCTGCATCTTTGAGGAGAAACTTGATACACAAAAAAGTACTTTGAGCTGTAAATTTTAGTGCGTGAGCAGTTTCGTTGCTCAAACCTTGGTACCCTGTGCATGCAGAGATCGACTGGATATCATCAACATAATTTTGGAAGTCTTTATTTAGCCACTGCAGGCGTTCATCACAAATATCAATATATGGTGCAATACTGCTGTTTAATGCATGTATGTAGTGCCTTCTGCTTGAGACATTGTGGACTTGGAAAAAGAGGAACATGTTTTCCATGTATAAAATAGTTCCATCGCTATTATCAAAATCTTCATATTTATCTTCTTTTAAGAGCTTCAGTGCTGCGGTAACGGTTGGTGAAAATACCTGTGTGGCCCGCAAAACATTCATCTTCTCGAAATTAGATGGGTATAGATGTTTTTTAGTTAGATATCTAACAGGCTTTACAGGCATCCCCTTTTGCAAGTCATATAAAGCTTTCAAAAATGATGACGAAATAACACCAGCTGACGAGTTCATGTCATGGTCTAAGAAGAGGTTTCTAGCATTTTTGATTGCATGGCAAAAGTCGAATGATAAGAAGAGGGGCATCGGTAGAAATGGGTTGTTAATGCAGTTTTGCAATATTCCTCCACTTAAATTTTTAAATAGACCAACATTGCCGGGATGATTATCTGTAACAATCCTCAACACCATGAAGCCACAATCTGTTAATAGTTTCATCACTTGCATGGTTAAAGAGTGAAATTCTTTGGCTTGCATAGATGAGTGGAAAAAATACCCACATGGTATGGTATATGTTGCTGATATTCCTTGTACAACATAGCACAACATTTTGTTCGCTATTTTAGGTTTTTTTCCAATAGAAGAGTCAGAACTGCAAGTATTAAGGCCATAAATATGATCTTCAACTCTGTGATAATACATTTTCTCTTTAATTGACATATCGTCAATAATTAGTGAACACAATCGTTGTGCAGGATGCTCTAAATGTGCAATTTCTACAGACAAACGTTCTTTGATAAGGTCATTTTGTCCATTGAAGTGACCAAGATGCCTCTCTATGGTTGCCCGAGATGGTAATTTGACCAAATGTGTTTGGCAATAATCGTATCCTTTAGGTGAACAGTATCTCCACACGGTACATGATCGAACAGACATTTCAGACCATCTTGGCGATTTCTTCTTATAATTATGAATTAGGTCTAGTAGAAAAATGGCCTTTTCATCAGAACTGTCAGCATCGCTGTTAATTTGCTCCAGTACGTCTATGGTTTTTGAATGTTTCTTCAGTTGATGCTCAATGTTTTTAAGTTTTGCAGAGCAGCGAGCATGAGAACGTTTTTCTTTTTTTAATTCTAACGCTAAGGCTTTACATTTCTCATGCAAAGCTGTCATCTCACTGGAGGAATTATTCATTTCGTTTGTGGGAGACAAATTGGGATCGTTGAAGTGAATTGAATCGGGAATGGAAGCGCAAGAAGGACCAGGTACAACAGGATCAGTATCCTTCAACAAAAATTAGATTTAAAACGAATTAAAATTATTAAAATGTTTTTTATTATTGTCTAAACTACTGTAAATTTAAAAAATAATTACAATATTTAAAAATAAAATTTTTTCACTAGCAGCCTGGACGCATGCAAATGTCGACTCATTTAGTGGTAGCAAATTCAACTTTTGCTACCACGGGTTCAAAAAGAAAAATTGAGGTTATGTACGCAATGTTTGATGTGATTATTTCTTAAAAAATGAACAAATGTGTGCTACAAACATTACTTGAGTATACGCATGGTAGTTGGTAGACGGTAGAAGATAAAATGATTAACTCAGCGACAAGTATAAACGGTTTTCTTTGTGTTGAAGATTTAGATCAAGTTTGATTAGAAATCAAAACAAAATCACGTTGCGTCAAAAAATTGAACGTTTATTTTTCAGTTTATTGTCTTATGGTTTCTACTAGTGAAAAAAATAGTATATTAACCACGATTGCAAATCCACTTCTAGACCTCGCAGTTAGAGCCCTCGACGCTGCGCGTCTCGGGTTCTAATTTGCGCTCGGTCTAGAATGCTTGGCTCTGCAACCTTGGCTAATAATATACTATTTTTACCGCACTATACTTACAAATATGGTAGGAATGGATCCCTTGATTAAACGATATCCTGTAGCAACTTTCTTGAAACATTTTTCTTTGAAATGTTTCTTGCAAATTACAGTGAAATCTGTTATTTCGAATGCATCTGCAAGTGGATCAGAAAAGTGTGTACCGTAAATTTGATTAAAAAATACTTACTGTAATGTTTTTTGAAGAACTCTAACCACTCTTTTCTAGTGTTGGGATCTTGAGGTATTTCACACAAAGGTAAGTCTTTATTTTTGCACAAGGCACAGCGTCTACCCATTGTTACAAATAACAAATAAATAACATAAATTGTTTATAACCCAATAAAAACGAAAACTAAGAAATGAAACACGAAAAGTAAAAAACTGAACACGAAAAAATTGTTAAATCAAACACGAAATATGAATAATGGAGCAAGAAAATAATAAACTGAGAAAATTACGCTGACAAGGATATTTACGTTTCGCGCCAAGGATTGACAGTAACTGATTAGAATTGGCAGACAGATGTCGCCACTTTCTAAACGTCACGGCCTACTTTTTGAGAACCGAATTTTCTGCAAAGTGAGCAGGCCTTATAACGCATGAATTCAGTCGGCCTTGCGCGGGAAATTCATTTTATTTTTTTAATTGGGTGAATCCTAGATTTCTTAGAAATTCTGTCTTGGAAGATTTTGGATTTTGTTGGAATTTTGCATGTATAAAATGTAATAAAAAATAAAAAAATCATTTCTTGTTGCATTAAAGTTTAGGGAGTTTATATCGGGACAGCAACATAATGTGTATCTAATCGAGTCATCCTTGAAAAGTATGTAACATGTCGGTGATTAAACCACACTAATAAATGCCAAAAAATGACAAATGTTAAAGTAAAAATGATACTTTAATGACCAGTAGGCGGAAATTTATCTTATGGATGCAATTCCCCAGTTGAAGCAAGGTGTGTTTTACGGCGAGTAGCGGGCACGCTTTGATCTGGTCCACAAGGTCGTAGCCAGTGCGTCGCTAGGAGTGTTTACAGCTTGTTAAAAAGCTACTTCTATATTACTATATTACTTAAAAAAATAATACTTGATGCCCCTTTTAATTTTTCAAACACAGGACCACAGATTTGTGATCTTGAAATGTTATATTATGTTGATATAGTCCAAAATAAAAATATATTTGTAATCAAAGTATCGCCGCGACAGCACTGGATCTAGCGTATGAAACACAATTCCGCCCGTTGTTAATGACATTTTTAGCAAAACTTCTGTGATTGAGTTCCAAAGATGACTCGATTATAAATTATGTTGCTTACCCGATATATTAAATATGGTGCTAGTGATACAGCAAATAATCTAAAAGAACAGTTGTTACTTTTTACTTTGTTTCGAGCAAATGATTTTCTATTTATTTTTTTGCATCTTTCCGTATTAGTTAAATGTTTTTGGTAAATTCTGTAGAACGTTTGCAGCTATTTGGGGTTTTAAAAACGATATATCTGTGCACGCCACTGGGGTTGGTACTTTTACGGGGGCGAATGGATCGGTGCCAGCTCTATTTCTGGAGAGGAAACCCTTGATGGTGTTCTATAGCCGGAAAAATAATGCTCTGGTTAATATTAAAAATATTAATATTATTTCTTGCAATCAGTTATAAAACTAAACAAAAAGAAAGAGACCCGGTCAAGGTCGTTCTGTAGCCTCCTCT